ACACGTTTTGAGAATTGTGCGGCGTGGCATTCGCATAAAAAACATCTTGTGCACTGCCCCCCAGGGACTCCAAGCCCCCGAATTAAGGAGTATTGGAGTCTTTCGGCAGGACATGTAGGTATCAATGTGCATAGAGATTTGTTGTCAGCTCTCAGTTTTCCTTATGGTCCCTTTTTGGGTACCCTAAGTATTAGGGACCGCCTAATGTCAAAAGATCGTAACCCCTTAGAGAATCCCCCATGTGCGCGCGTGTATATATTCATATCCTGGACGATCTTCGCTAGGATCCGGTCTCCTTCCCCCCTTTCCCAACCCTTCGCCCGTCCCGAAACATTCACTATTGCAAAAAGCTCCCGTAATCATAACAATAGTGACAAACATCAGAGAAGCACACAAATAATCCATATGGGGGTTTTCCGAGAATAGGGGGGTACCCTTTTGGGGGGTCCCACTATTCTATTTTGGGCATAGAAGGGGTACCCCTATTTGGGAAATACCCACACAAAAACATAACATCAGACCTCCTAGACAACCCAGATCACAAAGCCAAGCTGCCGCTCTGGTCACCAAGCTCCTGGAAAATCGTCTGAGCCTGGCACCCGAAACCGTAGATTCTCCCTTCTGTTTAAGGGAACCCAAGCAGGGCCCATGATTCTTGATGAGCTCCCGTGTGCTGCAAGTCGCAGCAATTGGGACGTGCCTCCTGGGCGCAGACCAGGGCATCTGAATACTGCTTCATGCCACTCCGCACCTCGAGGCGGAAGTGTATCACAGGTTGTGGGTAGTTTTTGTCATTCGGGTCCCTGTTTTGGGGTCCTTATTACATACGTACATACACACATACACACATACACACATACACACATACACACATACACACATACACACATACACACATACACACATACACACATAGACACATAGACACATAGACACATAGACACATAGACACATAGACACATAGACACATAGACACATAGACACATAGACACATAGACACATAGACACATAGACACATAGACACATAGACACATAGACACATAGACACATAGACACATACATACATACATACATACATACATACATACATACATACATACATACATACATACATACATACATACATACATACATACATACATTTCTATATAGGACGCAAAAAGGGCCCGTAATTTAGAGAACTACCCTTATGTTCGTTTATCTTGCATGTATAACTCAGCGTCACAGAGTATCCCGCAAACCCTTTCGAAGCTCAGCTGGGTTGAAAGGGGGTCCGCAGCCGAAACACAGGCGTGTCAGGCAACGGGCGTTGAGAGTATGCTAGTACATGGGATGATCTGTCAGTTTGTCGAACGGCTGAGCTGAAAAGAAGCACGGACCCCTAATAGAGTCCCTGAAATAGCAGGATCCCTTATAACGGACCCCCTAAGATCGTAAAGCCCCAAAACGTGCTACGCGAGATTCCGTCTTTCTCCTACTGAGGCCTCGGAGAGCTTCTTGAGCATCCAGGCTTCTTCGTGCCTGCGCGAACGGAAGCACGCATCAACACAGGACGGCTGCAAACATTCTGCAAACATTCTGCAGTATGGGGGTTTCCGAAATTAGGGGTACCTTATTGGGGAATCCTACCATTCGGGGAGCTATTTTAGGGTCCGCTATTTTCGTCAAACCCCAGACAGCATCAACCACAGACGCACGCCTGTTTCCTATCTCCTGCGTGATGGCCAGAACTTCGGTTGCCTGGCCCCAAGCACCCACAAGCTCAACAATGGTAAACCCCGAGCTGCAACAAGGCTAACTGCTGTCGCACGCCTGCACGCTGGCTTATTCACAAGTGCCCAGTAGGTCCAATGCAAGCAAAGCTCAAAAACAGATAGCGTCCCTGCCTATTTACAACCAGTTCAAGCCACATGTGCAACGAATAGTCCAAGTGTGCAGTGCGAGTTTTTTTCGGTGATCTCCAAGTAACACTCATGCCCACAAACAACGACCACCGAGGGATGTGCGAGCGCCAGTGCTTCTTCGTTCGCACCGCATTCCTGCGGGGGAAATGGACTCCGCGAATCCCAACTGAGCCTGATGAGAAGCTATTGAGAAGCAGCCTTCAGGTCACTAATTTATTCGGACCACACACACACACACACACGAACGACCATAAGAACCCGAACAACAGGCCCAACCACACATTGTCCAGCAAAGCCTGGAGGCTCCCTAAGGTCCTGCAACGCAGCAACGCAGCCGGATCCGAGGTGGACCAGCGCAGACCTCACGAAGGCACTGGCGTACTGCAGAGCTCTCTGGAAAAGGGCACGGGCTTAGGAAGATGCGGAAGAGGCTGGGCCTGGAATGCTCTGAAAACCCTGAATTCCCATCCAGCCTTAGGCAGTGCGCGCTCCTAGCCCCCCAGCCCCCAGCGCTGCTCTAACCGTGCTGTTGGTTGACCTCTGAATCTACAAGAGAAATGAGGCGTAGCATGTAACCCATAACAGGTGACGGCTTGCGTGGTAGCTTGTCATACCATCAGAGTGTGTAGGATAGTATGAAGAACTGGGGTGAGGTGGCGCCATGCTTGTACAGGCTTTCGCCCCTTGCGCGAGAAGACCCTGAAACCATCTAAACCCTAAACCCTAAACCCTAAACCCCGAGAAGCCCCAAACCCCAAGGTCAAGTTAGGGAAGACAGTGAATCCAAGAGTTAAGGAAAATTAACTCTGAAATTAATTGACCGGCATCGGGCCGGCTCGACGCCCCTTAGGTCCAGCACAATTAACTCTCGATTTAATTGCCTGTTGACGTCGCGCGACGCAGCATGCCATGCCGGCAAGCTTCTCAAGGAAAACAATTAAATCAGGATTTAATTGTTTCTGCTAGACGACCCCAACCCGCAGAAACAATTAAATCACGATTTAATTGTTCCCCCCTACCTTTCAACAATTAAATCACGATTTAATTGTTCCCCCTAAAGTAATAGTAATAATAATAGTAATAATAATAGTAATAGTAATAATAATAATCGTAATAATAATAATAATAATAGTAATAGTAATAGTAATAGTAATAATAATAGTAATAGTAATAATGATAATAATAGGAATAATAATAATGATAAGAACAATAATAATAACAGTAACAATAAGAAGAAGAAGAATAGTAATAGTAATAGAAGTAGGAATAGTAATAATAATAATAGTAGTAATAATAATAATAGTAGTAACAAGAAGAAGAAGAATAATAATAGCAATAGCAATAGCAATAGCAATAGCAATAGCAATAGCAATAGTAATAGTAATAGTAATGGTAATAGTAATAGTAATAGTAACAGTAATAGTAATAGTCATAGTAATAGTAATAGTAATAAAATAGTAATAGTAATAGTAATAGTAATAATAATAAGAAAATAAAAATAAGAAGAATAAGGATAATAATAGTAGTAAACATAATAATCATAGGAATAATAATAGTAATAGTAATAATAATACTAATAATATTAATAATAACAATAATAAGACAATTGGTAATAGTAATAATAAGACTAATCGTAATAGGAATAATAAGACTAATAGTAATAGTAATAATAAGACTAAAAGTAATAGCAATAATAATAGTGCAATTAAATCATGATTTAATGGTGCAAACAGGTACCAATTAGCACAAGTCTTTGCTGCACCATTAACTCACGATTTAATTGTCTCCCAGTCAAACGCAAAGAAACACAATTAAATCACGATTTAATTGTGTTTTTGTAGGGATAAGGTATGTCGAGGTAGGTCAAAACCCAACCCAGAAGCAACAATTAAATCAGGATTTAATTCTTTTTAACTTCTGGATTCATGGGTTTTCGTCAAGTTAGGGGCCCCGGCTTCTTCTCCGGGCCCCTCAGCTCCTCCACGCGATCCTGGATCAGCTGCAGCGCATCCTTAGCCATGTTTAGGGTTTAGGGCTTAGGGTTTAGGGTTTAGGGTTCAGGGTTCAGGGCTCAGGGTTCAGGGTTCAGGGTTGAGCTTATACCCACGCAGCCCCACACCCCAAAACCCCAACAACCTGGCCCACGCCGGACCAAAAAAGGAAAACACGTCTGACATCCGAATACCTCTAAATCCAAACCCTGAAGTCCAAAGCCCCCACCTTAATTCTTGAACCCCAAACCCCAAACCCCAAACCCCAAACCCTAAACCCTAACCCCTAAACCCTAAACCCGTATTCCTGCACACCAAAAGGATGTCTGAGACAAGTTTCGGACTGCAGGCCGCGCACGATCATGGCTTTTACCACCGCCGTGAGAGCCGTGGCCTGGGGCGTTGCCCAGAAAGATGCGGCAGGGTTTAGGGTTTAGGGTTTAGAGTTTAGGGTTGAGGGTTGAGGGTTTAGGGTTTAGGGTTTAGGGTTTAAGGTTTAGAGTTTAGGGTTTAGAGTTTAAGGTTTAGAGTTCAGGGTTTAGGGCTTCGAGTTTAGGGCTTAGGGATTAGGGTTGAGGGTTTAGGGCTTAGAGTTTAGGTTTAGGGTTTAGGGTTGAGGGTTTAGGGCTTAGGGTTTAGAGCTTAGGGTTTAGGGTTTAGGGTTTAGGGTTTAAGGCTCCCTAAACCTAAACTTTTAAGTCTTGCCTTAGAATTCATGGGTTTTCTGAGCTCTGGGGGGGGCTTGGGCTGCACCCTTTAAGTTAAACCAGAAACCACAAACCAGAATCTGCTGAATGACTCACAACATCGGTTCAGTCCGACTCCATGTCTGCGGAAGCCGCACATACCCTAAACCCTACTCCCCAAACCCAAACCCCTTCCTCCTTCACCCTCAAGCTTGCATACACCCGAAAAACCCTCTAAACCCTAGGACCCTGCAAACCCTATAGACCCTACAGATCCCACAAACCCTATAAACCCTAAACGCTAAACCTGAGATCCTAAACCCTAAATCCTCAACCCTAGACCCGAAAACCTAAGCCCCAACCCTGCCTCGCCCTTGTAATTGCCAAGCGATCTCCAGATTGTGACGGCCTGAATAGCAAGGGTTTAGGGTTTAGGGTCTAGGGTTTAGGGTTTAGGGTCTAGGCTCTAGAGGCTTTTGGGTTTGGGTTAGGGTCCACCGGGTCCAGGCAGTAGCACGCGAGGGCATGCGCGCTCGGGTGTACAACATCTTGGGCCGCGCGCTCGCGTCGCCGGGCAACACTATACCATTAAGGGCTTAGGGCTTATGAGTTGATCTTCCTCATGCGCCGCTGCGGCTGCGTGCTTCTTTGGCTAACACCGCTTCCGGGCCTAGGTAGCCTCGGCCCTGTTCTGGCCCTTGGCATGTCGGGCCAACTAGAGGTTCGGGTCGGATTACCCTCCACAGGGTCTCTCCGCGCGGCCCATTGGAAGGCAAACAAACCCCTTTGAACGGAGTTTCAGCCCAGGGGGCTCTCTGAAGACAATGTTGCACTTGTTGAAAAAGACGAACCCCCCTCCCCCCGTTGCCCCCCGCCCCCCTCCCCCCCCCCTTCCCCCCGGACCAAAAATCGGTGAGAAGGTCGCGGGGGTCTGGGTGAGGTCCCAGTGGCTTTCAGAAGCTTCCACAAGATTCTGAAAGCTTCTCAAAGCCCAGGCTTGTTCGGGAGGCTCGTGCTCCTGAATCCTCAACCCTAAACCCCTGAGTCGCGCCCGGAACGACGCAAACATTTAGAACACAAAGGTGGTCTGGATACGGCCATCCCTTCTTCGAGCACTGGGGTTGTGAAGCCCTAAACCTTAAACCCTAAACCCTAAACCCTAAACCCTAAACCCTAAACCCTAAACCCCAGGGCAAGGAAACCACCCTTCAATTCTACATCTTCCTTGTCAAGAGCCGGAAGGGGCGCCTCCTCGGCGGTCCTCTGAGCTGGAAGCCCTCCGGGGTGCCAGGGTTGCGGCTGCACTTTGCCAGGGTTTTGGGGTTTAGGGTTTAGGGTTCAGGGTTCAGGGTGCAGGGTTTGGGGTTTAGGGTTTAGGGTTTAGGGTTTAGGGTTTGGGGTTTAGGGTTTAGGGTTTGGGGTTTGGGGTTTGGGGTTTGGGGTTTGGGGTTTGGGGTTTGGGGTTTGGGGTTTGGGGTTTGGGGTTTGGGGTTTGGGGTTTGGGGCTTTAGAGGGTTTACTTGGGCGTCAGGGTTCAGGGTATCTGCATGGTTCTTGTTTTAGGCTTTGGGTTCCAACCATGCGGAAGCTTGGAGCTCAGAGCTTTGAGAGCTTTTCGGCTCTGAGCCCTAAACCCTGGAAGGCAATAGCGTTTGAAGATCGGGCTCAGGCGCACGACGCCATCGACCGGTAGCGCAGCTTTAGGTTCTAGAAGTTCAGGCGCGTGAAGGTTGCTGCACTCGCCGCCGCCACTGTGACTACCAGCACACTGCTGCTCTGCGGGACGTGGAGGTTCCTTTCTGTCAGCACCTCTTCCGCACGCAAACACTTCAGGTTTGGGACTTTGGGACATGTTCAACTGGACCGACGCATGGCGGTGTACGTCTGTCTGTCCGGCCATCTGCCAGTCTGTCTGCATATGTCCGTCTGCATGTGTGCCTGTGTGTGCACACACATGACTGCCCACTATGCGGCTACATTACGCACATTAGGGCAGCCTCCGTTGGGCTCATAGCGCTGCCGCTCGGCAAGGTTGTAAAGCGCGGTGGCCTGACACCATGTGCGAAAACAAGAAGGGGACAAGTTTCAGGGCCAGGGACTCCTGCAAACAGAGGACGTGCTCAGCAAGTCCTGTTGCTGGTTGCGGCGGCTTCGGTGGTTTAGGGTTTAGGGGCTCGGGGGTTTCGGGGTTTCTTGACTCAGGGGATTCCAGCGACAAGGTCCGAAGTCCTCGCGCGGGCCTCGAGCCGCCTCCACCGCAGCTCCCGGTAGAGGTCCTGAACCAGAAGCCCCCCAAAGGCCTCAAATTTATTTTTGGGCCCCGTAAGACCGTACTTCGGGGGGGGGGGGGGGATGGTGACCCTAGAAAGCGTAAACTTGGATATGTTGTGTAGGCTTCTGAAGCGGTTGTGGGGCCAACCCTAAACCCCAAAACCTGTGTTTCGAGGCAAGGCTCCAGCGACTTGAGGAGGGGCTCCATGAGGCTGCCTGCAAGGCACCGATGTGGAGGGGGGGTGATCGAGATCATGGATCCTTTTTGGTACCCTAATCTATACAGAACACAGACTGCAGTAAAGACCCTCCATAAGGCCCATAGTTGACGTGGCTGGGTGGCCATCGCTGCCTCTACGGTAGGTCTACAAGCTGCCAGAGCAAGAACTTCAAAGAACTTGCTTCCCTCCACCACTTCCAGACATTCTTTCTGCACCTTGGCCGCTCACAGACCGGGCGGCGGAGAGCAGATGCCAGGCCTCGAGGAAGGTGCTGTGTGTGTGGGGGGGGGGGGGTAGCTGAGGAGTAGACAGCTGCTGCAGCACGTGTTGCAGCAGCTGCAATCACATTGATTCATAAGTCAGACGATCTGAAACTCGTGCGGCTGTCCCTGAGCCTCCGGCCACTGCTACACCCCTCTTGTCTCCCAAGTCCTTCCAGAGCGCCAGAGCCTCCAAAAACAAGGAATCTCGCCCCGATGGCACTGATGTGGCACTCAGAGCGTGGGCCTCCTGTGCAAGCCTTTCACCCTCCACGCCCTCGCCTTCCTGAAAGGGCAGCTGAATGGAGAGCTAGCCCCAAGGGCACAATCGTGCAGAATCGTGCACCATCGTGCACGATCGTAGGCACAATCATGCACAATCATGCACCCCAAGGTGAGCAATTGCTTCTTCGGGTCTCCTGGATACATGCCTGTGTCAAGGCAGCTGTGCATTTTGCCACACAGCCGCTCTTTCCAAGCCTCCAGCCCAGGAGTTGCCACACTGAAATCACTGGAGCAGCGAAACACAAGGATGATTGACAGGCGTCTGACAGACACCATGTCACTAGCTGCGGTTCCACCAGTGAAGGTATGTTCCATTCAAGCGGCTCTCGGAAGGTCTCGCAGGCAGATGCGGCATGCTCCTTCAGGCTGCTTCAGGCAATCAGTGGGCATTTAACACTGGAGGTCGTGCTACGACAGCTCGACGAGCTGCTTTTTGTCTTGGGTCGCGTGGCTGGGCGTCCGGGTGGGCATATGGGTTGGTGTGTGGGTGGGCGTGTGGGTGGGCGTGTGGGAGCGGCGTGTGGGCGTGCAGGCGTGTGGGCATGTGGGTGGGCGTGCAGGTGGGCGTGCAGGTGGGCGTGCAGGTGGGCGGCGTGTAGGTGGGCATTGTATGTGGGGGCGTGTGGGCGTGTGAGCGTGCTACCGTGCAGCTCCAAGTCGTCAAAATCAAGATCAGTTTGTGTTTCTTACAAAGTGTAGACAACACATACCGTCAATCATTTGGTGCCGAGTATCAGCGGTGAGCTCTGTGGTTTTTCGACAAAACTGAGTCGCACTGTTGGCGAATAAAACATACAACGCCATCAACGCACCTAATTGCAAGCCGAAGTGCCTCCTGTGTTTGTAGCAGCCCCGGTACTTTAACTCCAAACTCGCCGCGCAATGCCCTTCCCGAAACATAAACATCGTCGCACCTTGAGCTCCTCGGACTTGCCAAGTGCTAGCATCAGCTCGGCCCACATCAAGTGCGCGTAGGCCTCGCAGTGCGTCTGTGGCCATGGTCCAGAGTCAAGATGACGCGCTGCTTTTCACGCAGGACCCCCGATGAGGATCCCCCCTTCAGAGCCCCAACGTTGCATGAGACCTCCCCTTCTTGCAAAGGAAGTGCTTTCAGCGGCAAAAGCGAAGAACGTTCACCGTGATGATGGTCATGCTGACAGGAAGGTCGCTCGAGACACTCAAGTGTGGGCTGACTGGCATCGTCAGCTTCGGCAGATCCACAAATGCTCACAGCCACCCCAAAGCCTGAAACACAACGGGGGAGGAGGTCGAAGCCCTTACACTCAACCCCAAGTCCCCAAGACCGAAGTCCCTGCTGCAGGTTTCATGGCTCTTCCTGCAGGAAAAGAGATGCTTGCCCTCAAAACCAGTTGTAGAGAACCTGAGCATGAACACCCCACAACACCGTCCCTTCACCCTGAGCACCTGCATGAGCGCGTCCCCACGCTGTGACGCCTCCAGCTGCTCGCTGGCCAGGCCGATAGCGCCCTCGCGGCTCCAAATTTTCTCCAAGACTTCGGGGCTTTCAGGGGTTTCAGGGCTGTTAGGGCTTGTAGGGCTTTCGGGGCTTTTTAGGGCTTCCAGGGCTATTAGGGCTTACAATGTGGAATGGCGTAGGAAGCTTCGGTTCGAAGAGTTTTGGGGAAACTCGAGACAGCATCAGCCACAGCACTGTATATTCGAGGTTTAGGGTTTAGGGTTTAGGGTTTAGGGTTTAGGGTTTAGGGTTTAGGGACTAGGGTTTAGGGTTTAGGGTTTAGGGTTTCGGGTTCTTGAGTAGCCCTGAAAGCACTTGACTTCTCGGTAGAAAAGACTTGTCTCCATCCACAGGCGCCTCGATGTCACCGCTGCTGAAAGTGGCGCTGACCTCGGTCTTCGTCTTGACTCGTTTCCATCGGTCCCATCTTGCCAATAGGAGTCCGACAACATGCTGATTCTCAACATCTATGAGCCACATTGCCCGAGCCAGGTGATCAGCTTCAGCTCAGGGCCGGACCACCAAGCGAGATGCATCTGCAGCGTTGTCAGACTCGCCCGCTTCATCAAAAGCGGTCGTTGCCTTCCTGTCGCAAAACTGCACACTGCCATCGCGACCCTGCAAAGTACAAGTAGGCTTGTCAGGACAACGGGGGTCTGGGGTGTGAGTCGGTGTGAGGCTGGTGTGAGGGCTCTCTCTGGTCATCATCTCACCCCGGAAACCGAACAATCGGAGTTCAACCCTAAAGCCGTCCTGGCGAGCTCTAGGGCTTCCTCGGCGTCCGACTCGAGAATGTCCAGCGCCCTCCACAGCCACCTGACCAAGTGTGCAGGGGGGGGGGGGGGGTTCGTTTCTGTAAGGGTATCTAAGATATCCGATGATACATTGCACCTACAAGGAGAGGCTAGCTCAGAAACTAGCGTCTGAAACGAAGCAAGTGCTAAATGAACAAAAGATGTATGTGACTGTACAACCAGGTTGGTTTTGGCGTTGTTCAGGGTCTGAAGATTTCGGGGCTTGGAGGGTTGAAGGTTTGGAGTCAGGGTTTAGGGTTGTCACTCGGCTATTTCGGGGAGGGTCAGGGGGAAAGAGCAAGACCCAAACCCTGCAGAGTGAAGGGCTAAACCCTAAACCCTAAACCCAAACCCTGAACCCCCAATCCTAGAGAGTGAAGGAGGGATGGTGAACACTGGGGGTCCCAAGTATTTTCTAGGGTTGAGGGCCCCGGCTTGGGCTTAGGGTCCGCAGGCCAACCCTGCCCGTGAACCTAAACCCCAAACCCTAAACCCTAAACCCTAAACCCTAAACCCTAAACCCTAAACCCTAAACCCTAAACCCTAAACCCTAAACCCTAACCCTAAACCCTAAACCCTAAACCCTAAACCCTAAACCCTAAACCCATCTCAGTGCATTGTCCAGCTTACGTGTACAGTCAAGCCCAAGCTGCGGTGCTCGCCAAAAACCTGTGCCGCTGCGCTCGGTTCGGTGCCGTTGTGCAGCACTCCTAAACCCTAAACCCTAAACCCTAGACCCTAAACCCTAAACCCTAAACCCTAAACCCTAACCCTAAACCCTAAACCCTAAAACCCTAAACCCTAAACCCTAAACCCTAAACCCCAACTCCTAAACCCTAGGCCCTAAACCCTAAACCCTAAACCCTGGGCAAGGGCCTCTGTGCTTCGACGTGCGCGCCGGAGAGCTGCGTGATGCTGCCCAGCATCGACATGGCTGAAGACCATTTAGGGTTTTGAGGTTTGGGGTTTAGGGTTTGGGGTTTAGGGTTTAGGGTTTAGGGTTTGGGGTTTAGGGTTTGGGGTTTAGGGTTTAGGGTTTAAATGCTCTCTCTCTCTCTCTCTCTCTCTCTCTCTCTCTCTCTCAAGCCAATTTCCAAGAAACCCTGTCCCTCTAAGACCCTTGGAAGCCTGAGTCTCCCCCAAGTACACCCCACCAAAAAAACAATCGCACGCCGTATTTCTGGCGAGTTTTTTGGCACCTTCGGCTTCGGCCTCCGTAAGGCGTGCCAGCTGAGGGCTTAGGATGGTTTCGGATTCACCTTAGAAAGCCTAGGGCCTAAAGCCATCAAGGCCTGTTCTTCCTAAAGCCTTGAGACGTCCATCCAACCTCTCAGCAGCCCGGAAAAAGTCCTGCGGAGCTTGCGAGCGGGGCAACTTGAAGACTTGCGGTTTAGGCTTCTCAAAGTATTAGGAGCATTCTTGGGACTTTGGGAAGATCGGCTGACAAGTGCTGCACAACGGCACCGAACCGAGCGCAGCGGCACAGGTTTTTGGCGAGCACCGCAGCTTGGGCTTGACTGTACACGTAAGCTGGACAATGCACTGAGATGGGTTTAGGGTTTAGGGTTTAGGGCTTAGGGTTTAGGGTTTAGGGTTTAGGATGGTTTAGGGTTTTAGGGTTGTGACTTGAAATTTCTGGATACACCGCAACGGCAGGAGCCGTTTAAAAGACTCCGCCGGCAACGCGCTGCAAGACTGTTCCTACGCGGGCTCTTTGACACGCGCGGGCGCCCGTGCGGAAGAGGAAACTTCACAAAAAGCTCTCCATGTTTACACCTGGCCGCACTGCACGCTGCGGCTCGACTGGCCGAGCGTGCCCTCGTGTAAGCTTGAGGGGTGCTACTTTGGCAGGCCGAGTCTGACCTGAGCGCAGGGGCTGCGAACCACACAACTAAACCCTCAAACTGTCAACTTAAACCCCCGAAGAGCCCTACAAAGACCGCGGCCTTCAAGTCCTTGCACTCGATGTACAGCCTCTCCTGCGCAGAGTGGTAAGTGAGGATCATGAAGGAGGACCCTGGCGAATACATGCGGATACACCCGGGTGTACAAGAGCAACAAGGGGGAAGATTCACACCTCGCTGGCCCACCGAATCGCAACCTTGGCTTGGGATGCGACCCTACAACCTCACCTCCTACCAGTCACCCTGAACCTCTCTGTTCTGGTGCTGCTCATCCTCGGCACCGGCCAAGGTTCTTGCTGCAACGTTCAGACTTTTGACGTTCATTCTTTCGAGTGCCAGGCTCTACACTCCCCGAGCCTGATGCCATCTCTTCGCATCTGCACAGACAATTCCAGAGCGCTTTCGGCCTACGATCTAGGCATGCCCCCTGCGGTGATGACACGCGCGAGTGCAGAAACTCTCTTGCGGTTCTGCGCTAGTTCCTCCTGCTCGCCGGCTAGAAGCCGCTAGAAGCATCGGTACAACATCAGACCTTCAGCCCCCCAATCGAATAGCTGAGCGGCATTGAAGCGCAAATTGAGGGGCTCGGTGAAGCCGCGCAGACGCGGGTCCATCTGACATCCCGATGGACAGCAAAGGGCTTCCGGTTCATAGGGCTTAGGTTGGGATGCTCCCCCTTATACTAACAGTCCTGAAAAGGGATTCTCATAGGTGGTACTATACCCCCTTTTTAACGACTGTTAGTATAAGGGACATCCCAAGGCTTAGGGCTTTCCCGGAACCTCCCTCAGGTCTTCCGGGAGGACCTGCACCCTCACCACGTTGGCAATCTGATCCTTGGGGTTTAGGGTTTAGGGTATAGGGTTTGGGGTTTAGGGTTTAGGGTTTAGGGGGTTACCAGGGTTTGCCACGACAACGGCACCGTGAGCTGTGACTTCTAGACCTTGAAGATCGTTCTTCAAAGTTGGCTCCCCAGTATAGGGAGATCATTCGTCTTTGTACTAAGTGTCGTTACAAAACATTAGAGCAAATTCGAGATCAAAGCCAAGATGCCAACATGCCATCGACGATGACAGCCTCAATCCCTTTGATCTTGGCGCGGCAACGACAGCGGCAAGACTCTTTGTCGCAAAAGCTTCTTCACTAGCCATCTCAACTTGCAGAACTAGATCTCAACTAGTTCAAGGACTACATACAGCACTGCCACATGCTGCAACAGGACACGCCCATGCGTCCTGGTCCGTTGAGCTACCACTGACCTCTAACCCATTTGGCAGAGACATCGAGTGACACCAGGGCTTAGGCTGATCATGGCTGATCTAAGGCTTCCTGACTTCGAGGGTTGAGGTTTAGGGTCTAGGAGTCTGGGTGGATCGCCTGAATCTGATGTTGTACACCTCCCTAGCAAGGGCCGCTGTAGATTCAGTTCCACATATAGGGCTTCGGGTTTGGGGCTCGGGGGGTGGTGGTTTGTGTCGGCTGCGGAGCTTTGCCGACTATTCAGCGCCATGCTGGCCACGGGCTGCGCTTGTTGGCAAAGAGAGTGCCAGGGACCAGCGTTCTGACAGTCTGTTGACTGAGGTTTGTCGGCATCATGCGTCCATACTGAAAGCGATATCTTGTCAGTTCCGAAAGCTGAGGCTAGGGAATTTTTGCAGCTGTCCGGCTAATCAACTGTTGCCACACGCTCATCATTTCTTGTGACCTGCCATTCTACTCAACATCATGCAACTTATTGAAAAAGACCCGAAGCAACGAGGCCGAGGCATACCGATGGTCGGTAAACTGCATCCAGAGGACCAGCATCACCCTGATCCAACATGTGTAGCTGTGCACCGAGGGTGGACGTGCAACACACCGGCCTGATCTCGGGCAACCAAGTGCCGCTGCTGTACATTCCTGCTGGAAGCTCGATCGGAATGACCTCGGTTCCGATGAAACTGGAGAGTGTCCAACTCATCAGCGTGACTCACGACCCGAATCAAGGTCACCAGAATTCGCCTGCTGCTGAGTGGCTAGGGGCACCACCTGATCCTCAAAGCAGTCGTTGAAGAGTTCTGTGCACAAAGACAGGGCCACGGTCGAAACTGTCCCGGTGAGACCCGCCCACAAGAAAAGAGGACCCTTTGGAGCTCTGCCCCCCTACTCATTTTCGCCTACCATCGAAGCCTTATTTCATCGCCTGTGCCTCGCAGTGGCAGCTCCAAGAGGTGGAGGATCCTCGAAGGCTCTTGGAGAACGCGGGTCAGACATTTTGTTTTTGGGTAGTTTTTGAGAATTGTTGATCGTTTTTGATAGCTTTTGATAGCTTTTGAGAGTTTTTGATTGCTTTTGATGGTTGTAGACAATTTTTGGCGATTTGTTGATGATTTGTTGGCTGCGTCTTAAGGCCACCATCTCAGCAAAAAGACTGCCCAAGAGCGTCTTAGGATCCAGGGCAAGGGGTGCAACCAGTTCAGGGGCCGCCTGAGCGTCATCCACTCCGAGAGAATGTACTCCCGGAGGATCTCCGCCGCGCGAACTTCTTCCAGGAGCGTGCTCGGCCACTCAAAGATGATCCCCTGGGGCTCGAAGACCTCATGCCTCTCTGGCTCACCCTCCTCGGCCAAAGACTGCACACTGCTTGGCGGCGGCTCCTCGTCCCCTTGGCACTCCTGCACCTGTGTCCTCAGAGGCACCACCGGCATGGACATGCGCTGCCAGGCGTCGGAGTTCACCTTGTTGAACCAGGCTGTCACATTGCTCCTGACTCTCTTGCGCACATAGCCCGCCACGACGCCCACCCCAGCAAAGCAGCCCGTAAAGCAGGCGAGCGGCAGCATGCTGTGCACGCCAGCCGCAAGGCAGGAGATCGAAAAGCAGGATGTGCCCGCAAGCATCCCGGTCGCGGCTTCACAGAGCCTGCCCTTCCAAGTCGGCCCAAGCTCCGTCCGCAAGGGCAACTGAAAATTTGAGGGGTTCAGAGGCATCTGTCCGTGAGTCGCCCGGACTCCGGGCAGGGAATCCTGGAACGCCTTGGCAAACTGAGCACTCGGAGCACTCCGAGCTCTCGGAGAGCTCGGTGTGCTGGGAAGACTGAGACTCTGGGAGACCATCGGGGGACAGAGAATGTTGAAAGCACGGAGGGCCTGCGCACTTCCTGTGGATGAAGGCTGCCACTCGTACACTGCCCAGTTTGTGAGGTCGGTCATGTAGCCTACCGCGAAGGGTGAGGAAAGAAAGAGGTAATCCAGAACTCCGTGCAGGGCCTCGTTGGCCTTCGTGAGCTTCACGTCTTCAAAGGCTCGCCGGAGGCCTCGGCGCTTCTTCCGGGTGCATGCCGAGGGCAGCTCCTCTTCCAGACCCCTGGTCACCCATCGCTGGTTGCCAAAAGCATCGAAGTCCAAAAGGTGGATGCACACGTCCAGCAGCCCTCCCGCCAAGGAGGCTGCCCGTGGCTGGATCAGCATGTCCGAGTCAACCACGAGAATGACCCAGTCCTCCATGGCTCCTGTGGAGAGCGCCAAGGTCGAGGAAGTCGCCGTGAGCTCCACCCAGCGTGTCTTGCAGATGGCTCGGACTGCGTGCGCAAAGTGCCCATGATTCACCATCAACCCGAAGGAGATGATGTCGACTCCAGGGAGGAGCTCGGCAACCCTGGCCAAAGCCCCGTCTGCTGAGGCCACATTCTTCCACCTCTTCAACAAGTTCAAGGCTGTCACGGCCTCCCGGTGGTCGCCTTTCGCCTCCGCAAGGAGTGCGGCAATGAGGTTGGTGCCCGGCAACAGCCTATACTCCCCTTGGAACCTTAATAAAAACAGTATGTTTAATATCCTCTTGGGTTTTATTATGCAAACAAAATAATTCCCAAGGGGGATAAAGCAGCTGGGCCAACTGAGTGATGGCCCCCTTCCGACCCACCATCCGGTGCAGCGAGAAGGCCCGGGCGCGCTCCGCCTCGGCATCCAAGCCGCGGAACTTGTGGATGCAGCAGATGGTGTCTGCCAAGCCGGGGATGTGCTCCCCAAACTTGGTGATGTAGCCGTTGGCGCCCAAGGGGTTCTTCCGCCGGGCCCGGCGGAAGTCCTCGGAGCGTCCCGTGGCCCGGTGCAGCGTCTGCATCCTCAAAGAAAGAACTGCCCTGAACCCTGAAAAGCCCTGAGGCCCCTAAGGGGTGATATGCACAGGCTGGCTATGCCAAAAAAAGCCACAAACCATAGTACGAGAGTAGTAGAGAGGAATCGGCCAACTAGGCCTGACTAGGCCAGAGGATCCCACAGTATGTCATTCAAGGATCACGTTGTTCAGGAGCGGGACATGCTCCGCCCCGCGCGCCAGGCGCCCAGAGGCCCGCAGCGGGTTCGAGGCCCGGGCGCGCAGGAGGGATTCCTTTTGAGGGGGTTTGGGGGGGGATTTTGGGGGGGAGGGCGGGGCTCACTGTGGCTTGCAGCTCCTTCAAGGTTGGGTGGGTTTAAAGTTCAACCAAAAAATACCCATCGGGCCCCTAAAACTTTAGGGCTTAGGGTTTCGCAGCTCCTCGTCTCCCGCTCTTGTGTGTAGGACCTGCATCACATTGTTCAGGATGGGTAGCCTCTCGGCCAAGCGGCCAACGAGACCGTTCCTCAACTCCTGCCGGTCCTTGGGATGCTTTTGAGTTTAGGGTTGTAGGGGATTTGGGGTTTAGGGTTTAGGTTTGGGGCTTGGGGGGCTTCGAAAAGTTCAGGAGCTCAGGGTATCAGACGTTGGGACTGCTTTGGGGGCGGGCCGGTGGGGAGGGGGGTCTGCCCAAACCCTAGAACACCAACCCGCGCTTCGTGGTCGTGGAGAAGTCTCCGCAAGTGTCAGGAGTCAGGGGCTTGAAGGCTTGGGGAGGTTTCGGGAGCGCCCCCCCCCCCCTGCCTCCTCGTCAAGCGACTCGAGGGACTCCAGGGACTCGTCCTCCTCGCCCAGGGGGTCGAAGAAGCGCTCAGGGGCCTCCATGGGCCCTGCATCCCGTCAGCCTCGCGTGAGGCCTGGGGACATGTGAGCTTCGTTGTTCGTAGACAATGGCTAGCATGAAGGCCTCGTAGGCTGGCTCGTTTTCCCTTGCTCACTCATGCTAGTTGAACTCAAGACTGTGTCACAAGAATGTACACAGGGGGTGTCACAAGTCTCAGCTGCTGCGTGAGTCAATCTGCTAGCAGGGTGCGCATGTGAAGCCCATCCCTGGAAGCGATATGCGCGCACTGTCGGCAGACTCAGGTGCACAGGCAAACAAGGCCATGATCATGGCAGAAGTATGGGATGGCTCTTTAAAACTGCAGCACACGCTGCATCGAGGTGAAACTCTGCGCGCGCATTGCGCGCACGCTTCTCAGCCAGCTAGAAGAACTCCTGCAAACACAGCCGGTGCGCAAGCTGCGGGCCTGTCTCCTGCTCTTCGCAAGCGAAGCTACTACCGGCCTCTTGATCGTGATCGTTCAGAGCTTTCTCGGCCGATGATGCGGCTGTCCCAGCTTTGGGGTAGCCAGCCTCAAAACCGTCACAAGCAACTTTTTTGTTCACGTCCAAAGGCTCCCGTGGCCCAATGGGTTGAAACTCAGGAGCAGACCCCGTCCACCGGGCGGCCTTTTGCCTGAATCTCTGAATCTCGGGCTGGGTTTGGGAGCTTATGGTTTGGGGGCTTGGCCACCCTTCTGTCGGGGGGGACTCCAAGCTCAACGTGGGTAGGCCGGGTCTGAGAGCAGAAAAGTCGCACTGAAAAGGACAATTTCTCGGTCCTGTTGACCTTTAACCATCCTCAAAAGCGGGAGGCCCTGAGCCAAAAAATGATAGGAAGCACATAGGGAACGGATCGAAAGGGCCTTTCTTGGGCTATTTTTAATCGTATTTCATTACTCTTCGATGTCATTTCATGTTGTTCCATGATAGCTTAGGTACAGTACCAAACAAGGTACATCTTTGCAGTCTTTTTTCCGAGGCATGGACGTCCAGCAAGATCGTCTCGGCCTGGTCAGAAGAAATCCTAACATGCGTGTGCATAGACATATATATATATATATATATACATATATATATATATAGCCCATACTAAGGTATATTTACCGAATATCCGCTGAACCCCTAAACCCCGGAAGCAAGCCGGGGGTCGCAAATCTCCCTTGTGCTAACTATTCGGGACTAGGCTTCATGTCAGTATGCCTTTGTTAGAGCGTAGCAGAGTATGGATGGGACGAGGAACCTAAATTCGAGCAGATACCAGGGTCATCCCACCGGTTGATGTCGAGTTTTGCCAGGTAGGCTTTGCACACTCGGCTTCGCAACATCTGCTTCCGTATGTCGCGGAAAAGGTTGTCTTTCCCGCCGGTAACCAAGAAGTCATCGTCGCCCCCAGACGCCTCCCTCTTGGGGCGAACAATACGAGGCTTCGTGGGATCCGAATAGTCCCCAACAATCAGCAACAGCTCTGCAATGGTGGATGACAGTCCAAACATTTCAACCCAGCTGTCCTTGCGATATAGGTGTAATTCCACCAGGCACGCCTGCGAAGGCATGAAAACCACGTTGGGCATCCAACCGCCGTTCGGCGCCAGCAACAAGGAAGATCCGGAGAACAAGCGCGCCTGGTCCACCAACTTCTCAGGTATGTCGTCAACAATTTGGAGATCGAACTTCTCATCGAAAAGAGGCTTCAACCGATGTGGCTCCAAAATTCGGCGGTATGAACTGCGACCTCGCGAATAGATCAGCACCCTTTGAGCTGAATCGGGCAAGCTTACTCTGGAAGGCTCATGCCCAAGCACCGCAGACCAAATAACGCGCTTGCCAAAAGAAACCAGATGCTTTGGCCGCAGTGTTCTGTGCTTCGCACAGGCCCGGACGATGTGTAAGTCGCCCTGAGCACAGTAAATCTCGGCCTGCGACCGATTGTAGACTGTCCAGCGGAGTTCACGGGCTACGCTCCAAAACAGCTCATCTGTCCAGGATAACTTTGGAGCTTTTGCACATGCAGGAAGGTACAGGTTCCGATCCACCAGAATGGCCATGTCAGACTCACTGTGAACGATGGTCCACCAAAACAACGGCCAAAACTTCTCATGAAAAGTATGGCCGATGTTTCCTGTGCAACGCGACTGGAATGCAATCAAACGTGCGTGCGGAAGTATGACGTGAGAGTCGTCGGAGGCAGGCTTCGCGGCAGCGCAACAGGCCCAATCGGGACATTGGCCGTGGACATAGGGGGCAAGGCACTTGCTGCCACAGGCTTTGGTGCATCCCACGTACTCTTTGTCCAACGGATAAAGCCGCTCTTTCTGCCGCTTCAGGACGTCCAGATCCATGATAACATGAGGCTGCCAGGTGCTGCTTGCATTGTCGGGTCCTGCAAGCAACCGAGGAGACTATTGCACGCTTTCTTACGGCCAACTGCTGTGGTTTGTTGATTCTAGGCATTCCCACCCCATAACTTGCAAAGGCCCTACGCTAGACAGGGACGGGGGGTGGCGCAGCATGAGAATGATGCAGCACAGGCCACACCGGAGTGCCTTCTGGAAAGCATGCCATCCTGTTTCGTTGTATTGCAGCAACGTGGCAGAAGAAGTTTCTTCAAGAGATGGAGGTCCCCATGAGCCTGCCTTGATGTCTTGGTTGGAAACATCCGGCTTCTCAACACAAGCGCTACAACTCCAACCAGAAAGACGCTAGAATGACGTGTGTCTAGAACTTTTCTACATACATACATACATGCATGCATGCATGCATGCATACATACATAGTCGCGGAAAACCTGAGAAGCGGGAGCTTCACCATGGGGCCCTTTCAAAATGGGTACAGGATGGGCACGCGCCCGCAAGTTGACGAGAGGCTCTCCTCCCTGCATCCCCCCATGGGCCCTACACATTTGAAGGGTTTTCCAGTGGCTGGGTGCATCGACTCCTGGAAGAGTGATGTCATGGTACGGTCCCAGAGGTTCGGCCGGCTCTGCTGCGACGCCTCCGAGTAGGGAAGGCCTAATTAGGGATCAAGGCTTGGAAACTTCGGTTAGGAGCCTGGAGACGATGCTTAGGGGCTTAGGGCTGGATGCAACCTCTCAGGTGCCAGGCTGGCCAGGCCTGTCCGAGCTTCTTGAAGCTGGACTTCTTGAAGCTGACCCTGTTGGACAGGAACCTCTTGGGCTGGTTGCCGTTGGAGCGTGGCGGGCGCCTCGCTCGCTAAGATGCTCGGATGCCCAGGATCCGCTTGCGACCGGATGGCTTCGCTGCGGAACGGACGCAAAGATGCTACAAAGGCCAGCCTCGTGGTAGCGTGCGATGCTCACAACTGGCCACCCGCTCTACACTTGCAAGAGAACTCATACAAAAACTTCTACAGAACGAGCTGCCAATACAACTCAGGCACATGAAGCAGATGAAAGTGGCAGTTGCCCATGACAGGCTTGTCCACCGCTTCTGGGCCATGGCACATACTGACTCCAGCTGTCGTAATTTCGCAGGTTGCTGCACCCCAGGCAACCCGAAACCCCTAAAACCCTGAATGGCCCACCTGTGAGTCCATGGCGGCCAGAATGCAGGGTTGCACCCTTTCTGGGGTTCCTACAAATAGGATTTCGCGCCTCTGGAGTGCATTAGGAGCCCTTATGATAATACCCATATCATGAGTGCACGCTTGTGTAGATGGCTGCAGCTTTCGCCTACAGCAAGTGGGCAGGACTTGTGGTCGTTCGCATTGCAGTCCCCACCCCCACCTCCGCGTCTCCCTGCGCCACACCGACCCGGGTGCGCTTGTGGGCGTAGTGGTCACAGAACCTGAGGCTACCGGCTTTCGAGCTTCTGTAGAAGGAACTTCAGGGGAGCAGCCTGACTAAGCTTTTGGCCAATCAATGAAAGCCGTCTTCCGCTCCTGCAACACTGAGCTTTCATGCAACGTCCAAAGAGGGAAGAACAAAGCCTGGCCAGGCGCCCAGAGCACGAACCACACGAAAGCTTCCTAAAGCGGGCCTCTAGCGAAGCGGATGGGTCGGCTTTGAGGTGTTCGAGAATGGCATCGTGGGCCTCCCAACAAGGCATGGTGGAAGGAGCCTTGAGTCTTTGAGGCCCCTTGAACCAAAAAGACCTTTACCTCGGCAGGGCCCTTGGTAAACTGCAAGGAAGACCTCGGAACTCTCCCCTTCCCTTCCGATGCACCGCACTCTCCCCTCGCAGATACCCAAGAAGCTTGCCCCGAGGCATTGTCGTACACGTGCAGCCTGAGCAGCCGCTAGCCCCTTGGCCCCAACCCCCAAGATGAAAGAACTTCAAAGATTGGCCCCTGTTTTACGAGTAGCACGTTGTAGCTATGCCTTGTGCCCTATTTGCCTATGTCGGGAAGACAGGTTGAGACGGAGGTTTCGAAGGAAACGGATGCTTACGGCCGCTTGACAGGACGTGAACGTCCCTCTCGCTGGGCCCTGGACAAGCTCTTGTTGGCGCAGGCCTTGGCCTCAGAGAAAAACTCCGAAAGCTCAGCACGTGGGCGTTTTCCTTTTTAAGGGACCTCTAAGCTATAAAACGCTTCTGAAAGCTTAGGGGGTGCCACAGAGGCCCCGTTGCTCTCGGACTCGGGGCCGCCGCGCGCTCAGCAAACGAGGCAGGGTCAGAGATGAAGAGCTGCTTTGCCTGCACCCGAGAATGATACGCCGGACGTGGGCAAGCAGGACGGCAACGAAAAAAACAGAAACAGAGCGTTCTGTGTCCCTTGGCCCTTTGTGACGGCGAGCCTCTGGATTCAGAGCCGGCCGAGCATTACTCGCAAAGTACCTCTCACCAAGCACGCAACGACCTCACAAGAAAATGCCAGGAGAGCCGTGTGCTCACTCCCTGCGCAGGAAAGCCTTGTGAAGGTGAGGCCTTGAAGCATTGGCTCAAACTGGCTCTAGTTTGGGGGGCGTTTCTGGATGAGGGTCCCTTTTTGAAAGAAGAGGCCCATCCAAAAAGGAATACTACTACAAGAAGTACCTGCATGGAGACCCTGACTCAGAACAACCCCACAAGCATCCCAAGAGCCCTGCTGGCTTAAACTCCCTCAACATCAGGGCCCGGCAGCGCAAATGCCGCAAAGTCTCGCCCGGGGCGCCTGGCGAAAGAGGGCAGCACAAAACCCTCAAACCCGAAGATCTCAAGCACGACAGGCCGACCACTCAGGAAACAAAGATCCGAGCTCCACTTGCCCTGTCTTGGGGTCGACCTTCCACCGCGCAGTCTGCACAGTCTGTCGAGGGCGCAGCTGACCCCCTAATCCCCTGAACCTGAGGCGCCCAAAATTCAACACACACCCTGACAGTACCCTAAGGTGCCTTGTTAGTGGGCCTTGAAAGGTCAAGTGTCCGGCTGAGGTGCTGGCCATCGGATGGAAGACTTCGGAGGTGAAGAAGAGATCTTGGCTTTAGGGCTTCGGGTTTATTCTGGGAGCCTTTGCATGCGGAAGCTGAGGGCCCTGCCTGGGCCCTGGTCTGGATATTCCTCCGGGAGGACCAGGCGGAATCTTGGCAGCGCCATCACAAAATGAACAGAAATCCCAAATTCTGGGAAGGATGTTGGGCCCGAGGCTTGAAGACTGCGCCCTTGTACAGCCCTTGCTTGATGAAGAGCGCGCCCTGCCTAACACATGGATCGTGTTTGCTGGGACCTCGCACACCCCCCCTGAAGGTGACTGGGGCCACCAGGTCAAGACGGAGTCGAAGCAGGGAAGGACGTACATGCCCGACGGCAGCAGGTCCTCGAAGCTCTGTCGGTCGAGGCTCTCCAAGATACATGGGGGGTTTGCGAGGATTAGGGGTGGGGTGCCTTATTGGTGTCCTTATTAGAAGGGGGTCCGATCGTGCACTGACAGGAAACCCGTTGGCGCGAGCTTGTTTTCCCAAACGATTGCTGCGCTCTCAGCTCAGCTGTCAGCTCGGTCAGCTCGCATTCTACGGCAAGGCGGCCAGAACGCCGTGGCAGGCGCCGATGAACTCGCAAAGCTCTGGCCTGGGGCTTGCTATTTTGAACGAGAAACCAGGAGCCCGCAAGACGTTCTTGCCATGCAATTCGGCCTGCTGTATAAGGTCTCTTGTAGGGGATGAAAGAGCCTACCAAAGAGGGGGTGCGGATGCATTCAGGTTCTAAGCGTTCTCAGCGTTTGCCCAGCGGCTGCGTGGAGATCTTCCGGTTGACCCAGCTGGAGGGATCCTGAGACTTGCCATCCTCCGCCGCCTTCCTGAGTCACGCGCGTTCGCTCAAGCGCAGTCTGCGCACAGACGCACGGACGGCACCATACCGGAATGCCCGAATGCCTGAATGCCTGAATGCCGTGCACGCGAGGCTCACATACTTGGAGAAGTTCTGCGCGGAGAGGCCCAGCTTGTCTGCGCCCGCGACCCCTGCAGCTGGAGAGAATGCAGGGCCCAGGACTGAAAGCGCTGGAGATGGCTTCTGTTGAGTTGGCACACCGCCGTCCTGACAAATGGGCCGTTGCTGCGAAGCCGCTTCTGAACTTTGTCAGCCGTTCGGCAACTGTGGAGAACCGATAGGGTCTTGTGCAGAACCTTCCCCAGAAAGAAATGTAAAGTCGAAGGTGGATCGCGTTGATGCGGGCTCAATGGTGCATATTAAGATCGGGACTCGACTGGGCGGCCCTGCCTTAAACAGGAAGGCAGTGCGCGCGGCTGAGGCTATTCGTCGTAGCTGTTTGCAGGAGCGAACAACGGCCCCCCCAAGAAACTGAACTCAGCACCCGGCATGTGCGTTTTGGGACCTTTCATCTCTTCAGAAGTTTCCTCTCCTTGGGCACATCATCGTATGCCTGTGGCACCTCTTTTGCATTTTACTGCTCATGCCCAAGCTAGAAAAGATCTCTTCCAATGCTCCCCAAGGATCGCAGGACCAAGCCGACCCGCGCCGAGGATCGCACCCGATCTGATCGCGGGGCTTCGGCTCTTTCCAGTCTCAGCCCCTTCGTTTCCAACGCAGACAAGTCCGCAGCCTCAGCCAAAAATAAGGTCTGATCTCTCTTCTGTTTTTTGTGGGCCCTGGTTGGGGGGTTTTAGGAGCCCGTTTTTGGTTTTTGGATCTTGGGCTTTGTGCTAAGAAGAGTGTAAAGACCAGGGCCAGCCGGCTCTCCGTCAAACATAGGCAAGCGGCGCTGCGGCCATCTGCAAAGGCAGCTATGGAGGCCTTGCCTGCAGGAACAGCGCCAGGGGAGGCTTCTCTGGGATGCCCTCCAAACATCCGTAATACAGGTTTAGGGTTTAGGGTTTAGGGTTCAGGGTTTAGGGTTTAGGGTTTAGGGTTTTTTCCAAACCCAAAAACTTCACAACGGAGCTGCGGCAAGATACCATTCAACTCGAGGATCTTGTCAACGACTAGGCAGGGGCCTTCGGTGAGCTTATCGGCGGCGTCCACTATCGAGCGAAGGAGCAGCCCGGCATAGACATCGCCAGCTTTGTCGCCACAAGCCAGGTCCATGCCCTTGAAGCTGCCACTCTTGTAGGTACCGCCCTTCTTGTGGAAGTACCACACGCCGCAGCTCGCTTGCCTATAGCATCCTATAGTCTAGGGAAAGGGCCCTTGCATGTCCTGTCCTAAGCTAAGTTTTTACAGATATGTCCACAACTCGCTGCAACACCAGGGATAGAATCTGGACACCCTTCGTCGCCATGCGCATAAGGATCGGCATGGTGGGGCGAGTGGACGTATGCCTGACTGAGATTGAAACTGAGTGAAAAAGAGAGAGACAGAGAGAGAGCGAGAGAGAGAGAGAGCGGCGGAGTTTTGGGAGTTTGGAAATTGAGTCGAAGAGTTTTCGGAGCTAGGTGAGTTAGGGGAGTTGAGGAGTTTAGGTACTTGGGAGTAGAGGAGTCAGAGGAGCTGAGGAGCTTCGAGCTCCGCGATGCGGTAGCGCTTCTCTGCGATCCTCAGCGCACTCTGAGCGAAGACTTCTTGCAGAGGGTCCTCCAAAAAGGAGACCCTAATTTAGATGCCCTACTGGGGCAACTGCAGCAACATCAACGCCAAGCTTCCAAAGATCCCACTGGTTCATGAGATCACCGGCTGCCTTTTCCAGGGCCGCAACTTGAGCAGCATACGTCTGCTCCGCTGCAAGCCCGGACCTGCCACGCAAAACCCGAGACACTTGACATTAATCTACTGGGAATCCCCGTGGCCAAAAACAAGCCCACCCATGCATCCCCCAGGCGCCCCACAAACCCAGAACCCGGGAGCCTGAGGCAGCTGAGCCTCGGTCTAGTCTGCGCTTTCTTGCGCGTCTCGAGTGCACAAACGCGTGAGACGTCATGAAACGGGACTGGTTACGTCCGTGATGTTCAAGGAAGTCAGATGCCAGGGAGCACGTCGTGCAGGCCTCCAGAGGCCCCAGGGCCTTCGTCCGCATCCTTGCCGTCCGCTTGGACGCAGGGCTTCTTAGCTTCGGGCGCTTCGATGTTGGCCGCCGGCCGCTTGGCAGGCGCCATGGCTTGGCTGCTTGTGGAAACTGCTTGAAGGCGTCAAGGCTCTGGCTGGGCCCGCGTGGAGCTGATCACATGGAATGTCGTGCAATGACCTGACCAGCGTATTGCACAGCGTACATACTGCGAAGCAATGTATGTTAACTCCCAAGAAGTCACGCGGCCACAGCGAAGAATCTCATCGGAGTTTTCATCAACCTTTGACATTCGATGTGCGAAATCAACACCGACCGCCGCGGACTTTTTCCGTTTTCTGCTCGCGGCCTCACTGTGCGGAACCTCCACGAAGAAGGGGACCTTGCTGTCACCTCGGAGTATTCCTAGGATTCTTCGGCGAAGTTTGCAGACACCCCTTACGGCTTGGAGATTGCAATCAGCACACGTACACTTCTCAAAGGCTACTCCGGATTCCAGGCCTGACCCCAGGACTCTACTTTTATGCTCTGCTTCGAAACTGAAACCTGGAGCTTGACAGTCAGACTCATGGTGCTCGCAGATGCTGCTCATTCTTTTTCAAATGTTCCGATGCAGGAGCCGTCCGACTTCATACGATCAACTCCGACACCTTGCTGAACCGATACCTTGGAGGCTCGGACGAGGAGCGAGCAAAGCACGAGTCAGCATTGCCAGGTTTTAGGGATTAGGGTTTAGGGTCTTGGGTTTATTGTTTAGGGTTTGCGGTTATCACGTGGGCCCTAGCAACTGACAGAGTGTGCAACCTTCCAAGGCCGTGGGGCAGAAGCGTGCCATGCGCCTGCACCTCCACGAACCCAGTCGATGGGAAGCGGTCCCGCGTCTGGGGAAGCTCCTTCTGTGCCCAGAGATCTCGCACTCTTGCCATCGTCCCCGATGCCCATCCCAAGGCGGACAGGTCCTTTCCAAATGTGCACAGAGCATGAATGAGCATGATAAAGGGCTACAGGCTTCGGACATGCTTAGAACATTCAAACCACAAAAGAACCGTGAGGGGGAGGCTGCCACAATGACCAGTGCAGAAGCCGAGAAGCCAGACTGGCGTCAGCCGTGGAATCCGACGGATTGTAGAAGGCGACTGCCACCGATCCGTCAGGAAGGTCTCTGCTATACGCCATCCAGCTGCCGGCATCCTTCAAAAGGCGACCGGCCGGAGTATCAACTTGATTCACTGCTATGACCTCCTTGTTCAGAAGAAGCTCCTTCTGCAATGGAGTGATCGATGGCCTGCAGCTTCCCGATGTGAAGTTCCCCGCGATCTGATCTGTCTTCGAGCAGTTCAGCAGTGGAGTGGTGACAATCATCGGGGAGGCAAGAATTGCCCACATGCTCACCTCCGTTCGGTACTCAACGCTGGTCATGTTGCCGGTCTTTCCATTTGCATGAGCAGCCTGCCGGTAGTTCCCCGTCTCCAGCATGTCCATGTCATTCCAAGCAAAGGGGCGTCCTGCATAGGCCGCAGGAATCTGGGACCTTTGCGCTATCACCTTCTTCGTGTCCTGCCACAGGGGGACATGGTCTCCCGTGGCCCTCCAGGACTGCGCGACTCGGGGGCCCCAGGTCCAAGGTGAAGCTCTGCCCCACTCGCACATGTTGAAATGGATGGGGCGGCCGGTCGCATTCAGCGCTTCCGAGAAGGCCGTGTAGGTCGGTTCCGGCTGCATCCCGTCCGTGAAACACCAATCCATCTTTACCACATCCACGCCCCACTCGGCAAAGACCGCGGCGTCTTCTCTGAAGTGGCCCTTTGAGCCAGGCCGGTGGCCCACGCATGTGTAGGTGCCGGCGCAGGTGTAGAGACCGAAAGTGAGACCTTTGGAGTGGGCGTAGTCTACGATTGGCTTCATGCCCTTGGGAAAGTGCTGCCGGTCAGCTTGCAGGAAGCCCGACGCATTCCGCTCGTGGTCCGCCCAGCAGTCGTCCAAATGGAAGTGGCGATAGCCGGCGTCGAAGAGACCGACCTCAGGGTCTGCCACTTCCCACTTCGGGCACTCCACACATCTGCACACAGAGCCTGCCCCAACAGGTTTCAACATGCTAAGGCGCCTCAGGATTGTTGACACGTATAGACATATACACAGATACACATATACACCTATACACCTGTACACATATACACATATACACATATACACATATACAGATATGCACATATACATCTATACACCTATACACCTATACACCTATACACCTATACACCTATACACATATACACATGTGCAGTATTTGGATAGATAGATTGATTGACAGATAGGGAAATAGATACTTTATTGGTTAGTCAGTCTGTCTCGCAGCGTCAGTCAGTTCTTTCAGTATGTAGCAAGTCACTGCATGATCATAGCTCTCCCTGGAGCAAACGCATAGACCCCTCACAGCCTCATGGAAGGCGTCGACCGAGAGCTTCACGCTTTCCTCGTCACAAAAGTCGAACTCCGGGGCCTCAAGGCTGGACAGGGGCTTGTGCTTAAACGGCGTAGATGTTCGTCTACAAGCCTCCCAGCTTCCCAACTCTCCCAGCGTCTTTAAACCGTTGCGTTCAACTGATTTCCGCCTGAGCTGTCAGATCGACGGCTCTGTTAAAGGTTTGGACATGTTGCGACGGGTCCTCAGAGAGCTGCCCGGGTGCACCAGGAAGAGGAAAGCTTCAGTTGCAGTTACATCATTCAAGAGATTTGACCTTTCACTTTCATACGGCCTTGAGGAGATGTCCTCACTCTGGTTAAGTCGTATGGCCCAGAAATTCTTTGGAAAACTCGGAAATTCCTAAACCCTCTCAACTTGCAAAACGCGTGGAGGGCCCGTCCCTCGGGGCCTGCGCTTCGGGGCCTGGCCACTGCCGGCCCAGGCCCACCCAACTGGACCAGCCGAGAGGTGGCTTCCGCGAGTGGGGCGCGCCGTTGTCGTAGCAGTCAGTGGGTCTCAAGCCCAGGGAGAACACCAGGAACGGCCATGGCTTCATGGCGACGATGCGACGTCGCTCGGGGCCACGTGCTTGGTTCTGTTCTGAAACGGGCTGCGGCAAGGTCCTCTGTGCAGATGTTTGCAACGCTCACCCGCAATTTAGGTGTGGCACTAGCCGCTAGCATCACTGCGGCAGAGCATCTGCACGGCAGATCGCTCTGCACGGCGGACGGCCGCCGCATCCTGCATTCCGACTCCTGGGAGGGCAGGCTGAGCAAGTTTGGGTTGTCAATAAGCTCGAAGAGCAACTGATCCGCTGGTTTGGCCCAAGACAAGGAAGGAAGGAAGGTCAAATACAAGCAGGAGGCGCGACAATGATGCAGAACTGTCGCAGAACACTGGAGAGTTGACGTGCACACGGAGCTTTGACTTGTGCTACTATGAGGCATGCACTTGCTCCGGTAAAGTGGTGAAACCTCAAGTCCGCAGCTACGCAGGTTCTTCCACGCTTCACTGAGTTGCGCGAAGATCTCATGCGAAGCCTCACCAGCAATCACACGTAACACGTACCGTCTCCATGGCTCTCTTAATCCTCAAGACCTGCTTTCTCTAACAAGGCGGCGCTGCCACTTGACCGACCCCAACAACTTCCGGAATCATTTTTAAAAAAACTTGTATACACGTTTATGAAAAGCTTTGTCGTCACCCCTCCCCCACCTTGCAGCTTTCGTTTCATCACAGATGCTATACTTTGCAGCTTTTTGCACGATCGCAGGATGACGATGTGCACTGGAAGGAATGATTGTCCAGAGAACTAAAACTTTACAAGGTGACTTCTTATAAGCTGTGATGTGGTGTAAGTAGAACGGAAACCCAAATCGACAAACAGTTCCAAAAGAATCTGTACAACACTTTCAGTTTCGCCTTACAGCAAGTAAAGTTCCCGAACAAGTTGATCTTGTACCACTTTTGCGCGAAAGATAAGCACAGCCTCTTGGGAGTCAACTAAGAGAGCAACTTCAATGATATGTGTCGCCAAAACCCCAATGACCCCAATGCAGGTGGCATTCCGTGCGACAGGCACTGCGCAGCAAGGCGCCCCCGCCTCATGCGGACGAAGTTTGCAACGCCATGGCCACCTCCACAAGACAGCTGGCGACCTGCCCAGGGGGCCCAATACCTCTTGCTGAGGGGATATGCCTAAAGTCGTAGATGACCCGTCTGACGTCACTCTGAGGGGTTCTCGGGTCACTGCGGGGGAGCAGGAGAGGAGCCTGAACACTTCAGGGTGGTGAAATGAAATTGCTAAATGACCTGCTTCATCTACCGGTGTTCCTGGTGGCTGTGGTTCTGGACATACTGCCAGCCTTGCCTCCTCTGTCGAAGGTGTTGGGCCATCGCCCCATGCATGAGCCAGATCCACTTGGCCAAGCTCAGGTAGCCTCAAGGCCTGACAACACAACGAGATTCCCGTGGAAAGCCAAGCTGATGCTGGTTGCAACGCCGGCCTTCGACAGCAGCTTCATGGGAACAGGTGATTCCTCCAGGTCAAGCTCCAATCTCCCTCATTCAGTGCATCTCTGACAGGCGTCCTTCAAGTCGAGATCGATGTCGCTGCTGTGACTGACAATTGCAGGCCTTATCAGAGCAGGCAAGCGCAAACCCGGGCAATAGGTGTTTCTCCAGGCTTAAGAGTTTGAGGGGCTGAGAAGTGTTACCGTCTGACTAGCAAAGAAGCCTGAAAGTCATGTGGCTGCGCCAACCATGCACGCAAAGCCAAGCCCCACGCAGCAGTAAGCGAAGCAACTCCAAGCGAACCGTCAACTCGCTGATCTTCGGCGCCTAAAGTGAGCTCTCTCTCTCTCTCTCTCTCTCTCTCTCTCTTTCTATCTCTCGATCGCTCTCTTTCTCTCGCTCTCTCTCTCACCGTGGCATGAAGGAACTCGGCTGTTAGTGGTATAGCCCAAGATACTCACAGAACTCACCATACTCACCCAAAAAAACGAAAGCAAACAAAACTGGGAGCTGAACTTCTGGCAGAAGAAAGGACTTGACGTGAGGTTCTGGCTGAAGTTCAGACATTCGCATCCCAAGCTCTCTCACAGCTTCATGTTCATACTCCATGTCGCCAAAATTGATGATGTTTCGGCGAGAGTGTCCTTCCCGCCCACTAAAGAATTCCAGAAATTCCAGCTTCATTGCATGGAACTTCGAGGCTGACATCTCGACGAACTTGAAGCGCTGGGTATCCTCATCGTCCCAATAAGCATCCACATGCTTTGCGGGGATCACGCTGTCATCCTGGTGTCTCACCTTCTTGCGCAACCGCAAGGCCCTGAGAACCTCTTTGGCATACAAGACAGTGGGACCCCCTGGGCAGGCAAATAGAGGGATGAGCTCCGGCGCAAACCGTCGCAGGCATTCCTCGACCCAGGGGCTTTGTGCGTTGGTGACAATGACACAGGATCCCGAGTATTCCATGCAAGCTTTCAGGAAGCGCTGCAGAGCCTCGCTCCAGGCACGCAGGAGCTCGGCCCGCTCCTCTGTCACGGAGATTGCATCACCCTCGTGTCGTACTCCCCAGCGGTCGAAGATCTCGGTGGATGGAAACAGTGTGTCGTCCCAGTCAAGATATATCAACGTGGAGGACGTGTCAAGGACAGGCGACGCGTGCCCCGCGCAGCTTGCCGAGCTTGAACTGTAGGAACTCCACTGCACACTCCCCGCCGCTGTGGTGTCCAAGCTTGCACCTCTCGATTGCAGGTTGAAGGCCTTTGAGGGGCAAGCTGGCCGCCGACACACGCTTGAAGACGCCATGGTCCAGGTGAGGCCGGCGAAACAAACAAAGATCTAAAACGTTGCAACACCTCGTAAAACATAGCACTTCTTGTATGGATCCTTAAGGCCATGATCGCGTGGCGGGACTATGCGTGATTGGAGAAGGTCAAGCCCTAACTACGAAACGAAAGGCCTAACGGGCCTAAAGGCTGCCGCGGTGGTGGCTGAAGACGAGGCGCATAGTCCAAGGCTGGCTCTCAAAGTGGCCATTTCCCACAAAAGGGGTACCCCGAATACACCCCCTAATACTACAATCCTTATTATAGGAACCCCCAAAAAGGTGCCCCCTATTTTCGGAAGCCCCCAGGTGCAAGAGACGAATCTTAAGTGCAGCTCCGCGGTCCTTCCACGGATGGGGCAGTGCTGGTGCCGGCAAGGGCACGCACATGCAGGCACCCATCGGAAGCGCTGGGCCGGGGGGACTTCCGGAGCCATGGCTGCGAGCAGTAAACGACATGTGCACAAGCGGCCGCACCTGTGTCCTAGAACAAGCTCATCTCCCGGCAGCAACTGCATTTGAGAAGTGTCCTGCATTCTCTCATATTCCAGCAAGACCCCATATTGCTGAAGGAGGTTGCCAATCTCGTCTTCCTGCTCCTTGTCCAGATCACGGGTTCCACTCCATATTCCCTTCCACAAGCACACCGAAGGAGTTACTCCCTGACATCGCCTCCTCAGGCAGCAGAAACGGATCCTCTGCCTTTTTGGGATCATCTGGTGGGGAACTTTCCTGGCAGGATGAGGCTGGGAGAATCGGCGGGACAAGCAAGGAACCACTTTGCCTGTTTTGTCGAGTGCTCCTTCAACCATGTGTTGAAGCGCTTGAGCCTCTAGGGCACTCTTCTGCACTCTGCAGCATCAGCCCACACGCTGCAAAAGCTTGAGAAACTCCCTGGGACTGCGGCTGATCCATAGGCTTAGCACACTGACATGTCTTGGCGGTGCCCACTGCACATGTCGCAAATGTTGGGCTGGCTTTTTGTGCTCTTGAGACATGGCTGGGATGGTGCCACTACTGGCCAACAGGCGCACTGAACCCTTATGAACTAGAAACACCAGTACCCTAGGAGTAAAACGTGAACAAAACTTGACAAGCCAAGGCAACTGCTTCGGTCGGCCATGGCCCGGCGTATTCCATGACATGGCATCCAGGAAATCTTATGATCGAAGCACTTGACACATCCGCATATGTTTGAGCCGTAGACGATGAGCGGTCCATCGGGCTGCACTGACAAGGCGCAAGCAAGCGAATCACTTATCAAGCAATGGCTTTTGAAGATTTATAAGACCTAGAGAAGACTACGCAAGAGTCTGTTTCTCCACTGAGCCTTCCCTGACCTCCTCCTCGCGTAGCCGCGAAGCCAAATCCGCTTGCCGTAGCTCCAGGCGCCCGTCTCAGCTTAAGCCTACACCCTACATGCCAGACTGCTAGACCACTCTACTTGAGGCCTAGACCCTGTCCCGTTAGCGGGCATCGGAGCATGTCGGAGAACCATGCATCGGTATTCAGAGTTGCCTACACACTTGGCAACCATCTCACAGGCTGCTTTTTGCAGCTGGCTTGCATCAGACAATCAGCTCCACATCGCTACTTATGGCACAATATGGTGAGCACGACAAAGGAGAGTCACTTCCCGGCGTGACTCGAAGCGCACAAGATTCGCAGGTCCCGATGAAGTCTTGCCGCACTTCTGAATGCCTCGTCACACACTCACACTGCGCGCAGCATTAAGGGCCTAGAACCTAAAGGGTTCAATCACGATTCGGCCATGACTTTGTCACCCGCAAGATGGGCCTCCATTCCTGAGAAGCGGAGGCATCGGCGCATCGGCTCACTTCTTTGGGGCGCCGCCCGTGACAGCCTGGGCTTTGCGGAGTGTGAGGCTACCCGTAGGGGGTTGCAAGAACCACGGGGGTTTGCTCACTGTTGCTTGTTACGTCGTGGCTGTTATGGTGACTAATGTGACTACTACGAGTCATGACCGAGCTCCAGATGGCTCCAAGCTCCGAGCGCGCTTCAATGCAGTGGTCAACCGCGAGGCAGCCTGCACTGCGAGTGCGAACACGGGTGTCTTCCGAAGAACTTGCATGGCTAGGCTGCTCGGTCCCACGTAGCGATGCCATGACAGGAAGCCTACGAAGTGACGGCCCTTGCAGCCGCCAAAACCTGAGACAAGCCTTCGGCCGAAAACATCCTACAAAACAGGCCCCCATCTGACTCCCTTCCCTTCCCTGCTCCTGTCGGGTCTTGGGCCTTGGGGGTGTGGGGGTTTCGCAAGACGCTGCAAGACGCTGCAAGACGCTGCAAGACGCTGCAAGATACTGCAAGATACTGCAAGATGCTGCAAGCCTGTGGAAGCCGGCGTTCTGGATGTGCGCCCGTGTTCTCTGCGGCGCCTGGGTTGTTGCACTGCACAGCACAGGTTCCATGAGAATTTCGCCTGCCATGCCGACGCTGCTTTTTCCGAACGGGATCTTGAGCCCGACCTTGTGGCATCCCCACAGAATCCTTTCCGAAAGGGAAGCCCCACCTCCAAGCAAATTCCCCTGTACAAGGTGGGAATGGTGGTGCTTCACAGCTTGGTCAGGTGAAGATGTGGACGATGTGCTGAGCCTCCTCAGCTGGTGGGTTACGAAAATCGCTCAAGTGTGGTGCCGTATGGGCGTGGGGCACAAGTTGACAAGCATCCACCGGCTGGCGGCGACAGACCTGCCTTGACAAGTGCGTGCTTATGCTTGCGATGCCTTTGAACTACAGCCTCAAATGCAAATGTCTCACGTCTCCAGTCAAACTCATAGTCAGCCCATCTATGCTGGATGTCGATGTCGGAAGCAGGATACTGCCCATTGGCCCCCCAAATATTGCACATGGATTCCTGCTCTTTAGTGCAACCTTTAGTGAACAGCCACATGTCAGAGAAGGTTAGTATCATCATACTACTGGTAGTAAACAAAGAGTGCCTGTTGTAACATGAAAGCTTGAGCTGTCTTCATGTCAAGAATCTGATCGGCAAACTGGGCAAGTTCCTTTGTCAGCAGGACAAAGCTCTTTCGCGCAAGGGCCACAAACACAGCCTTAGTGAACAAGTGTCTCCGTCTCTTCCAACTACATCTGCACGATGTTGTTGCATATATCCCTGGCTCTGCCCTGCCTTTCTGTCTGCATGCTAGGCTAGGCACGGTGACCGCAGGGTACGAAGGCATGCGTCTTCCTTAGCAGTGATACTGTGTCTCCAGGCATAGATTTGAGACACTGTGGTCTTCGGAAGATGTCAGTCGAGGCACGGTGAAGCCAGGCAAACAACGCACAGCTGGTCTTCATCGTCCTCACTCTGAGGGCCTTTCCCCTGCTGGTCCTTTGAGTCTGTAGACACACAACGATACCGGGGCATCTGAAAAGGTGACTCCTTTGCATGACTGTAAGATACTGTAAGTTGGGATGTTCCCCCTTATACTAATAGTCCATAATAGGGATTATAACGGGGGGTACTTTAATCCCTATCAAGGACTGTCAGTACAAGGGGGAACATCCCAAACTGTAAGCTTCCAAGCCGAGTATCTTCTGCACTTCGAGGACGCTCGACCCTCCCGCGAGCCTCCGGCGCAGACCTTCCAGCTGGCCTGGCTAGGAACGAAAAACCTGTACATAAATCACAAAAAGAACGAATTCACAACTGCGAGTAGGAAACTTAGGAAGGGGCTGCGGCCCCATCGCTTCGGATGCCCGGGCCAAAGCCACCGGAATCGGTCGGAAAGCCACCGGAGTCGGTCGGGGGAGCTTTGGCCAGGGAGAAGCTTGAACGGGCTGAACGGGCGCGGCCTGCTGAGGTTGGGGTGCCCACTGGGGCCCAGCATGGGCTGCTCGTGCACTCGAGTAGGCAGGGTGAGGCAAGGCACTCACTGTACCAGGTCCTGCACCATGCCATACTTCCCAGGGAGTGGCAAAAGCGAGGCTGGGATCCACGGTTATGGAGACCTGCCCCGAGCAGCCCGCGCCGTTGTACGCGGCGACAGCAAAGGTGTGCCTCCCACTGTCCAGGTGCCCCACCTGTGCTTTCTGAGGCAAGGTGCCCGATGCCCCAACGTCTCGGGTCAGCCGGTGCTTTCCACCAGAATCGAGGTTCACCACCTCGATGTAGTAGCCGTCTACGGGCCCACCGAGCTCCATCCGACGCTGGCTCTGCCTCTCCTCAAAGGTCATGGCCTCCGGGGGCTTCACCTCGAGCTCCAGCTGTCCACGGCCTTTGTTGGGTACCACCCGCAGGCTCCCAGGCGGCTCGGGCCGCCGCAGGCCCAGCAGCCGCCGCAGCGGCGCCGGCAGCGCCGCGCCCTGGCCCTGAAGCACCCGCCTCAGGGAAGGCGCTCTCTCTCTTGAAGCGGTGCTTCGGTGATATCACAGAGTGCTTAATGAAAGATGTGCGGAAAAAAGGAAGCCTGAAACAGAAGCCTGAAAAGCCGAGAAGCTGCAGGTAAGTGTTCAGTTCCTGCTCTCTTTGCTCACAGAAGTCTGCCGACAGTGACTGCGTAAAGGCCGGAATCCAAGATCTCTCAGGGCCCGGAGGCAAGTCTCTGGAGTCCACTAGCGAGCTCAGCTCCTCTCAGGCTTTGGTATCTGAGATCGAAACGACTGGTCCAGGAAGTCTACTGGAACGAATTTTTCTCTTGCAAGAGATCCAAGCACAAGCCCGACTTGTGCAACCACGTATATGCCTCATGCGCATGATGGAAGTCTGAGAACCGTCGCCAGGTCGTCCAGGAGATGCCGCTGCAATGTGTCACTTTGAGGCAGTACTCCACATGCCCACCTCCCATGCGAGCAAGAAGAGCAGCTCCAATCATCACTCACGCTCAGCAACACCCCCCCAACTGGCCTACGTCCTCGTAGGCAGCGATGGCCGCCTTGGCATAGAATTCTGCGAGGCTAAAGCTCGACTAAACCGCATTACCAAAGGCATCACATTTTTGGGTGCCCTTTGTGTCTCCCCTTTCATTGGTCGGGCGCCAAGCAACAGTGAGCCTGCCCAGAGGCACGGGATCTGCATCCATGGCAGGATCATGTTTGGGCAAAATGTCGCCCTACTCGCCCATTCTGCCCATTCTGCGGCATCTTTAAAGCTGAAGCCCTGAGAGCTGGTTCAATGAATTTTGGCAGGTTGGTAGATGTCAGTTGTGCCTGCTTGTGCTGGACTTTAGTGCCGTGACAAAAGCATTTGAGCATAGCTGAGCCAATCTCAAGCTACGTCGGCTACGCTTCAGCAAGCAAGCGCTTCGCCCAGCATGGTCGGTGTTAGCTGCACATCCAACTGGGCCCTGTGCCTGCGCCATCGTTCTGTCCAGAAAACCTTGTGGCAGCAACATCCTACTGCACAAATCTCACCACATGCCTGGGTTCGCCATGCTGAATCTGAAGACCCCTGCAAAAGCTTGTACTCCTTTGACAAGCTCTGTGGGCAGGCATGTGCCACGTCACCATCAGACAACCAGGTTGTGGTATGGATCGTGTGTACTGACTAGCACTTTCGGCCATAGTGACAAGACTTCATGCATCACAATAGTCTTGCCCTCCACGAGGCTTTCCTTCCTATGCTGGCCTCCAGGGAGCAAAAGTGGCCCTGCAAGGTTCCTCTCCCTGCCCTCCCAGCTTCGCCCAATCCCCAATCTTCTCCCAGCTTCAGCTTTCCCCCCCTTTACACTCACCTAGGTACAGAAGCGCTGCCCGGAGTGCGACTGGCTCGGCATCAAGTAGGGGCCGCGCTTGAGCAGTTCAGATGCCGCAGCATCCGGCGCGGGCTTCAGCCCATCAACTTCAGCATCCTGCAATGAAAGAGGGGAGCTGTGTAAGTGAAGCGGTTGAAGCTGAGGCCTGCTTAATTTAAACAAAAAAAAGAGAGCGCGTCCTCGCCATCGATCAGAGGGATCGGGGTGTGGCTTGATGTGTGAGACCCTGGGGAGTCCTGGCCAGTATCAGACGAACCCATCAGAATAAATCAGAAGGAAGACCCCAATACCCACATCCGGTAGCTTCAAACCATCTCCTCCAGCTCGAGCTTTGCTGCCACTCCGCGGAAGCCGTTTAATCCAGCCGCAGATGCGCCAAACAGGGCTTGATCACGCCGGCCTGCCGTGGGAGCTCAGGCACTGCCGCTTAGGCACCCACAGATCCGGGGACATGCGCGCAGTGCACCAGGACTTAGACAGGCACCACGGCAGAACATCATACTTTCCGCGATGGACTTCACCTTACTTTGAGAATCTGCCGGATGTCGCGCCATGCTTGCCGACTTCCGACAACGACGCAGGCCCAGCCACATCTCTGAGAGAGTTCGTAAAGAGCCATCTTCACGTCCCAGGCACCATATCCGGCATGGTCCGCTGAAACTTGTCTTGCATTTGAGACAGCACCTGAAGCTGGGCATGTAACAAGTCAAGAGCCCAGATTCGCTAGGTACATCTAGTTACTAAGAGCCGCCGGCCTCCGCTCTTGCCTCGGCTTCTGCTGCACGCGCTTCTTTCTGCGAAATTTCCAGTTGCAACTCCTCCCATCAGGAGCCGCTCAGTTGAAATTTGATCTTGTGCCCTCGTGCCCAGCGTAAGCTCGAACAATCTGGAACAGGCCGCACCTCTACGCGCGACGCGCGCTGGCGAAGTTCCTGGCGGTTGGCCAGGAAGCATCTAGAATCTAGACATATCTCAACCAAGTTTCGTTGCACACATGCTGTCACCACCACCGTACGAGTGTTTTGTCAAGCGATAATTAATTTAGCTCTGCAAGCGTCCTCCGCCTGTCCCTCCGCAAAGGCAGCTCGTATGACAGCCTGAAAGTGCCGTTGTGACGTCTGGAACAATGAGGCTTAGTGAGGGCCCCGAACCTCTTCCGCCTTTCTCTGTTCAAGAACAGCCTTCTGTTCCATGTCACCCGCCTCAAAGCCACGAGAGAGTTTCTAAAAAAGGCACAACCCGCCTTGCGATGGACGCTTCCCCTACACCATTCGGATAGCTACATCCCTTGAGACAGGTCCCGTCCTTCTGCAACGCCAGTTCAAGCTGCGCCTGGCAGAATCGCCAAGCGGCACGCCGGACCGCGGTTAGGCTTTAGGATGATCCATGTAGGGTTGAGGAGGCTGAGGATGGAAGCCTCGCTTCGCACCAACGCCTCGCGGAGCGACACCTGCACAGCATCATGGCAAGGTAGCATACAATCCAAGCATGAGGCAAGCCTGTGCAGGACGTGTTCAATCACAGGGCAGCATAGCCAAAGAGGCAAATTCGTCGCCGAGCGGTGGGTTGTCTCGATTTAAGTAAACAAATCTGGTGCAGAACTATTGGACAGAGCCGTCCACGGCTGTTTGAGTCAAGGGTTCCGTGCCTCAACGTCGGCAGCTCGCTTGTTCGGCTCGGGTCGTGCCTGCCACTGCTGCGCAATGGAGAAAAGACGGCGCCAGCTCCGGCTTGTCCGATGCGTCTGTCGCTGCCTTTCCATCCAACTTCTCTTTGGGGCGAGATGGCGCCGGCCTGCAAGCCACGGGAACCCCGATGGAACGATACAGGCATGCCAGCGGTTTCTTCCGTGTTCTCCCTAAACCCCCAAAAGGATCATGGCAAAATCAGGATGTCAACTGCCTGAGGCCCGGGCGGCGCCTTCGGAGCAGCTTTCGCCGCAGACTTTGGAACAGGCTTGCTGTGACCTCCGATCGACATCAGGGAACTTCAGAGAACCTCTGACACCCCTAAGATGAGTCTGTGGATAACGTGTTTTTACGAGGTAGAAACATCGTGGGATGCAAGGAAGACAGTTCGAGGTGAGGATTCCTGAGGTGCTAAGATGCATGTGTATGGGGGGGTGTGCGTGTCTGACAAACCTACCGAGTAGGGACAACGCAAAAAAGCAGCCACCAGGATCCATGGTGGACAGCTGCCACCCCAGATACCCCACACGCCTTTCGCATCCGACTTTGAACGTTGCGGCACAGGGCTGGAATGTCGTCGCGATGGTGCGGGGCTGGGAGGTCGCCGAGACGGTGCAGGGCTGGGCTTTCGCCGAGAGGGCTCTTGCGACTTCGAGCGCTTCGGCGGCTTGGGTGGCTCCACTGACTTCGACCTCTTCGGCGGCATCTCAGAGAAAGGCCTGCTCATTCAGAAGCTTCGCAGACCAGTGTGACCCTTTGTCCTAAATCCTCAAGGTTCAGGCCTGACACCGTAGAGGGAATGCCGAGAGTTGAGCCAAATGCTGCCGGAATGCAGAAAGTGAGAACACGGCTGGACATGTTGCACAAGGCTTGCTCCCAAGAAGAGGCTACGGACGGCTATGGACGGCTGAGTGGCAGCACGCACCATTTGTTGCAACATTGTTACAAACGAGGTACTAGGAGTCGACAAGCACTGGGAGTCAGGGGAGCACGACTGGGCTGCAGCCACGGCAGAGTCCTCACAAGTCTTCCAGTGAAGACTGTGCCGCTGCAGGAAGAAATTTCATTTGCTGAGCTGTCCAACGTGCTCAAGCATCCTTACCAGCACTTGCCTGTCCTATGAGCAACTATGAGAGATGTGATCGTGTGTTCTGGTGGACGGCACACGCCTAAAAGAAACTGAGTTTCTCTACATAAGAGGACCGCTACTGCGCGCTTTGCTCAGCAGCTCGTGCCAGACAAGCTGGAGGTTCTCCGACAGGCTCCTCCTACAGGTTGTGCGGCACGCAGCAGCTCGTTATCCCAAAAGCAAAGCAACGGCACTTGCAGTATAAACGTCTGGCTGACATGCTTGCCGGTCCTGCATGTCCGGAAGCTGTTCTGTACGATGGTAATTTTGCAGCTCGGTTGAAATCTCGGGCAGCATGGTGGAATTGGTGTATGCGATTGGGGCATGGAACGTGCGGAACCCTATACCTCCCCGCAGAACTCGCAAAACGTAGGACAACAAGTGCCACCAAGAGAGAGAGTAGCCAGGGCCAGCACCAAATATTTGCTGTCAAAAATTTGTTGACGCACCTGAGAGCTTGATCAGGCTTGATTCCTTCATTGCTTCCGGTAAGCGCCATCAACAGGGAAGACAGTCGGCTATGGCTGAAGGATCAAGGCTCCCTTGCCACCCTTGCACAGGCCTCACTGAGCCAGAGTCTTATCCGAGGCAGCGCCAAGAGCCTGGCATTGACGGCATGGACTTGCCACGATAACAATCGGATCCCCTCTTTATGCAGGGCCCTGTGCAACAGTGAAATTGGGAGGGGAGGGGACCCGACTGTACTGTAGCACCACTCACCACATGACATGTACACGACACTCCTGCTGGGCCATCTATGGTCCCATGGTTCCTGACAAACCCCCCATCGTTTCCAAGCCAATTTTCACAAACAGGCGGGGCGCACGTTATCCTCACGGTCAGGCCGATGTGGTAGCAGTACATGAGAAGTGCAGCCTTCAAGTACTCCTTAGCTGTGGACAATTTGTCCTTGGACGCCGATGGCCTCTTCACTCAAAAACGTTCCTCAACATTCCTCGGCTCCTGCTACTCCCAGGGTAGTTACATGGTCCCTTCGTATTCAGTATGGGGCCCTTAAATACATGTAAAGGACGGTAGGGGGTAGGGACCATATTAAGGGGCCCACGTAACTACCCTTGAAGCTACCTGTTCCCAGTTAACCCAAGTTCTCAGTGCCAGGCACTTCCAGGCTCCATCAACTGGAGCAGTGTCAGCGCAGCCTGGGGGAGCTTGGCATCCCCAAGCCAGCAAAAGCTCCCAAGTTGGGGCCCTAAAGGGACGAAATTGACCCTAAAATTGGGGGTCATATAACCTATACTACGATAATTCCTGTTAGGGTATATGAGCCCTAAACTCCTAAACTCCCAAACCCTGAACCCTAAATCCCTTCACACATTGCAGGGCCCGCACCGTGCGCGGGAGCACGAGGTGAAACACCACAGCCTGCAAATCGGCAGTCCAGAGCACCCAAATTTAAAAAAAAAAAAAAACACCACTTGAAACAACCAGAGTTAACACCAGCAGTTCATCCGTGAAATCTGGAATCATCATGTACAACTGAATTATTGGTTTTGGGGGGGGGGGGGGTCTCTGACTAGAGGCTCACTTTCCGACAGCACCCGTCCTTGCGAGCGCAGTTTGCTACAGTCACACGAAACCAGCGCCCTCAGCAGCACCTCCAGCATGGGGAACACCAACATCCTGCGCACGCATGTGTCGCAATTCTATGTCAAGAAGCACAGAAAGCACCAAGCCATTGAAGCATGCAGAAGCAAACAGTCCGCCAAAGACGCCAGTGTGCTCGCAGGTTGAAGAAGAGGTTGGTCAGAGAGCCTCGAGAAACCCATCCCATTCCGAAGCTGTGTAGGTGGGGGACAGAGGCCAAGGGAAGGAGAGTCCCGGCCTTGAGCCTCCTCCCACACGACCTCGGTCCTCAGTCCAGGACACGCAGTCCACGCTCTTAGACTGAAACGAAGGCCTCTGCATCAAGAGTCTCGTCGTTTATGAGGGCCCAGCTCCCGATGCAGGTTGTGCAGAATCACATCGCTTTGCACCAACCGCCAGATCACCTGGAGCGCCCAAGACAACACGAAAAGTGGAGGCTGCTCAGGCCCGTAGGCTTGGCAAAGGGAATGCAGTGTGGAGACGGGAAAACGCCAAGCCGGCCTTGGTCAGGACTAAACCTAGGCTCCAACAGTCGGTGAGCAGGAAGATGATTGGAACCTTTTCGAGACTCGAAACATAGGACCCGTTCGACAGCTCCAGCCGTAGACGATGCTTCTATCTTTTGGGGCATGTTGACATGTCACCGCCCATTTTTCTCTCCCATCGCCGGCGTCCATCTTGAGTCGATTCCTCTCTGGGTCCTTCTTGTCACGCTTCGATATGCTGCAGCTCCCGCAGCGCCTCTCGCAGCAGCTCGTGCTGTGCAACTCTGATCATGGGAAGCTTCTTCCCGTCGTCGACTGAGACTCTCAGAACACACCTCGGCTGCAATCAGTGGGTTTGCAGCCGGCCTTCGTTCACGCCTTGACAAGAGCCAACAAACTGCCGTCATGGTGCCGTTGCACATCGGGCAGGCGCAGTTGCCAGTGCTATCATGTTGAGGCCCAAGAAGGCAGCAACCTCCCAGCAACAGGAGAAACCTCAGCTGCGATTCGCAGTGTCTGCAAGTTCCAAATCCCAGAGCAAGCCTTGGTTTGGCAAATCGAAGTTTGTGGGGCGTTTCAGAAGTTGGCCCTCGTGTTAAAAATGCCAGGGCGGTGAGCAGGAAACGTCACCGAGCTGTGACAGGAATTGACAAAACAAGCAGTGCATGCGGATGGCTGCGGCGGACCTGAGAAACTCCGAATGCCAAGTGCTGGTGGGGAGCATCCCGCGCGTTAGGACTCTCAAGGAGCTCACTGCCCGCTCCCCGAATCTCGCCACCGTGCTCGCTGACATCCAAAGCCACCGGACCTTCGCTTCTGCGCTCCGACTGCGTAGCTTCGAAGCGAAGCAGCAGAGAAACTGAGACGCGAACGACCCAGGCAGCGATGAGAGCAATTGCTATTGACCTTGGCTTCAAGGGCAAGCCTAGGAAGCTTCATCATATATTAGGCAGCCTGCAAACATGCGCATACCTGCAAACTGGGACGCCGACAGGCAGAGAGCTGTGCTGATGCAGAAACTCCCGGCCACAAGGACCACAGAGGCCAGCAGCCTCATCGACTCTGAGAAAGTGTGCACACAAGTGCCCAAAATCTCATGGCATGGAAGAAGGCTTTTGGGCCTGGCATCGCCGAGAAGGCCAAGGGAACCTTCTGGTGCCCAGAAGCCCCGGCTGGCCACCTGAATCCGTCGGCTTCGGTGCTCCTTGAAAGGATCTCTGGGCCTTTCTGGGCCTCCGGCGTGCGCCTGTTCCGACGTCTGCCGTGCTGAGCTTGTCTGAGCAGGGTCCCATCAACAATGTGCCAATGCAGCTTGCTGTCTGTGGGGCCCAGACGTCGTGAGCGCCCGCACATGCGCAGGTTGTGCAGCAAGCAACCATGCTCCATCCGAGATCTGCATCAACAACTATACCCGGCGTGTGGTGATTCGCAAGTGCTGTTCAACAAGCTTCTTCTGTGTCTGAGTGCATGCAGGCGCGTTTCAACATCTCACTCTTCCTGGAAAGCGTTTTTTGACGACTTGTGGAGCATTCCATTACTTATGGCCTCAGGGCTGCTCAAGTTCGAGCCTGGCTTGCAGCTGCAACGTGCGGCAACACTGCGGCAACATGTTCAGCCAGTCGGGCATAGGGTCATTAAATGGCCATGCCCTTAAAGCAGAGGATCTCATGCCTGACCCAGCACCGCGTGGGTCTCTTGCCTGGAAAACCGACTGCACCTTCAATGGCAGCATTAGCCTCGCAGCTCAGGCCAGACGTCAAGCTGCATGTAACAACCTCGGGAACCTGGTAGTACCTGGTAGCGCCTCAACAGCAACGTCCCCAGGCCCAGCGGCAGCACGATGGTCCTCAGCAAGGCCGAGAGGCAAACTTCCGTGTGGAACCCCGACATCCCTAGAGTCACTAGATGTTCTGGCATCGCGGGTTCGCGCACTTCCTTTTCCACGATCATACAGCGGCACGTGTCAACCTCGGGTGTCAAGAGGTCAAGGGCAAGAAGGAACGACATGGCGCCTCTGGAACACCCCTCAAAGATAGCCTCCAAAATCCTCCAGGCCTATAACATTCACGCAGGCTGAGGGGTTCAGGAAACCTTTAATTCTGCGCCCAGTGTCTCTGCCATCATCGCATCCAGAGGCACTTCGTGCGCAGCAAAGGCTGGGTCGCCAGGGCACAGATCCCGGATGACATCCAGCGTCTGAACCACCGAACCTGCCGCATGGGGGTTTGCTGTGCGCAGGGTTTAGGGTTCAGGGTTTAGGGTTTAGGGTTTAGGAGCTACTCCGAAAATGTCCCAAACACCTGCACCCGAAAACCCTACAACCCCAAGCCCTTCCCGCGACGTACATCCTGATGGGCGCAGACATGTAGAGTAGCGGAGTGCTGGCAAAGATCTTCACGGCAATTGGCAAACACAATAGCAGGTTTAGCTTCAGTGGATTGGCGACACCCGCAGAACACCCTGCACCAGAGAACACCATGAGTCACCACAAAAACGATACACCCGTGCTTTCTCCCAAACTTTCTGCCTCCCAGATTCCCCACACCAAGCCAGCCCTGAAACAGGCCATAAATACCCTGCATCGGCACTTCCAGCATTTCCAGTACTTCCAGCCGGCTGCGCCTTCGGAACCCAAGAAGCAGCCGGAAAGCCAAGCCCCAACTCCTGAAGCCTTTCTACTCACGCGTGACTCACGCGTGGACGCTCCGTAATCGAGCATTTGCTCGGGCAGGGCATCCTCTAGCGAAGTCAAGGCGCGCTGATGAAAAAAGATGCCAATGTAGATTTACAACGACGCAGGTCCCTTAGGTTTAGGTTTGATTTCAAAAAGCAGCTGCCTTCAGTGTGCGCGTGTTTTCGGACATGCCGCAACCTCTCTCAAGCCACCAGCGCCAGCACTTCGAACCCACAGAAATCTGGCCTCCTCGCAGTAAACCTGGACGGCAGGGGTATCATGAAAACAATTCTCTCACTCAGACCATCGACCAGTTGTACAAAACTCACACAAGATCCAAGGGATTGTTCGGGGTTCCCAAATTCATGGCTTGTATATTTACCTAAACCCTGATTTTCAATGAAACCCTTCAAAGGGACCCCAGGATAGAAGAAGCCCCCAGGTCTGAGATCCGAGCTGTGTAGGCGCTGCCCTGTCTCGCGGTTGAATGGATCCGGGCGAAAGCTTCGACGCCAAACGTGCGCCGACAGAGCCTCCAAAGCCGAGGTCGGGATGGGTCTCGGCTCTGGTAGATTCAGGTGCAGTCACCGAGGCCGGGTGTGCATTGAACCAGAAGCCTCAAACAGGCCGTAACCCGAAGCACGAAACCGACGCCCTACGTGCAGGTTGATGGACGGTTTTTCCCGAGGGCGCGGCCCGATTGAAGAGGTAGCAGTAGTACGAGCCCCCATAGTGGACCAGGTGGTCGAAGCGGGCTGTTGCCGTGGAGAGGCCCAGCCTCTTCACACACGAAGTCTCAACTCCAAGCTGCTGAAGGACGAAACTTGGCAGCTTTGGGGCGATAAGGGATTTGGGTCTTGGGGACTAGTACCATTAGAACCATAACCATTCTAACCCTGCTCCAACATGCAATTCGATGCTATTCTGAACCTCTGAGTTCTGGGCAGCTCAAGGAGCGAGGCATTGAATGGCCCATCCTGCCCGGTCACACGGGCTGCTGCTGGCGATAGCACCCCTAAACCCTAAACCCTAACCCCTAACCCCCCTGAGCCCTGAACCCTAAACCCTAAACCCTCTGGCCCAGGAAGCCAGAGACACAATCTCATCGAGCTGAAGGCGAGCGGCCAAGTCTTGCTCGAAGGTCCCGAGCCTGTCTTCGGCACCCCTCTCCCCGGGTTTTGGTTGCTGTCACAATCCACCCGCATGTTCAGCATGTGGGATGTTCCCCCTTATACGAACAGTCCTTGATAGGGATTACAATAGGGGGTACTATACTCCCGATTAAGGACTGCTAGTATAAAGGGGAACATCCCAATTCAGCAGGCTCAACGAAATCCCCGAGCCCGGCACATGCCCTGCAGATGTGTCTGCAAATCCGATGCTTCAGAGGGGTGGAAGGAATAGAAGGCTTGGTCCACCATAGCCTCGTTGTCGCAAAACAGGGATGTGCTGCGCTGTCAGGGGCGACTTAGGGACGAAGCTCCAATCTCTTCCGAGCAGCGTAAACCAGCTGCTGGACGGCCTCGAAGTGGCCAAAAGGCCGCAGGCGGTGAGCTGCCCGCAGGTTCTGGGGCAGCTCGGCGCCTTGGAAAGGCGCAGGCGAACAAGCTCCTTGAACTTAACCCTGCTTGCACCGTTCTCCAGACTTACCCCTACTTGAGCCTTATACCACTTGCATAAGCTCTCGTGCCTGTACCTGCGTGGGAGGCATACATGGCGAGGCAGTCCGGATCCAGGACAAAGTGCTCGAACAGATGAGATGGAAACTCCTTAGGCTCACAAAAAGCAGAAGACGCGGATGCCCATGAGGAAAACCGCACGAGCATGCTGGGAAAGCTTTTTGAGTCAAGACTCAACAAAATCGATTGTACCCCGCGTCCCGGACAAATGCTGGAAATGAGTCTCTGAGAGCAAGGAGTGGACGGCATGTCCAATCTCATGCATGAAGGTAACCGCAAAGCTGGTAGACAGGCTTTGGGATTCAGGTGGCAGCGCATACACCAGACACGTCTTCGGCGTTTGAAGTCGCCCATCCGCCAATATCTTTGACCCTTGCAGGGTGAATTGTGCAGATTGAACCTTCTTGCCCTTACGCGGGAAAGGATCCAGGTAGAGGATGCCAACAGTGCGCTCCCCGTCGCGTAGGGCAAACTTTTGCACCGATGGGTGCCAGACTTCACCGGGTTCAGGAACCTCTTGGACGAATCCTAAGCCTAAGAGCTGGGAGAGGACCAACTCCACACCTTTCATCAGGGAGCCGTAGGTCAGGTACTCCGAGACTTGATCTGCCTCCGTGTGCTTTTCCTTACACCTTTGCAGAAGAAACGGAACATCCCAAGGCTCCAACGTTTCTACGGTGGAGGCCCCACTCAGCGCTCGCTTCTCCTCTGCCAAGAGTTGCATCTCGGCAACGAAGCCGGGCTTCAGGCATTCCCAGGTCGCCTCCAGGAACTGCCTCACTTTGTCCGGTCCTTCAAAGAGCGCCTCCCGCTGTGCATAGTGCGCCCACGTGTCATAGCCGCGTACTTTGGCGAGCTGCTGCCGCACGGAGAGCAGCTGCAGCATCATCTCCTCTCCAACAGCATCGCGCTTCTGCTGCGCTTGGTGCATTCGTCGCCGTGCCTCGCCGCACGCGACCACTTTCAAGACCCTGTCCGCGAGAAAGGTGTCACGGGGAATGTGGACCTCTTCACCTCCAGGAGCAGCACGGCGCTTAAGTCTCCACCGGTGCAGGTTCAGTGTGTCCAGGGACGATGCCGGGAGCCAAGCCCCTTCCGTCTCAGCAGACACCTGCTGACGCACGTGCTCCTGCCGCTGAACGATGTCAAAGGCGAGCTGCTGCTCTGCGTCCAACATCTCGAGGCACGACTGCTTCTCAGCTTGGGCAAGATGAACACCTTCGTGTTCCATGGACTCACGCATGTGATGCAGAATGGTGTGTGCTTCCAGCGGCATGGATTCGGCATCCCCGGAACTCTCCGCATCTTTCATGCAGTTGTAGACCGATGTGTCGAGATTGACCTCACTCATGTACCCTGCAATCTCTTGTATCGCAGAGGAGGCATGGGTGCTGTAAACCTCGTCTGGATGGACATTGCGTATCAGCTCGGCAGCATCCGCAATCTGACAGAGCCCATTCGAAACATCGTCCAGGAGGGAGACTGCCTCCAACGGGCGGCAGGATTCCAAGCCAGCGAGTTGCTTTCGGCTCTGACTCACGGCATCAGCCGCCAAGACCGGGAAGGCTTCTGCTGAGTCCAAGCCCTGGATTCCCAGGAGGGGCCCCTGGCTGCGACTGCATGTGACTGCGCTACTCTCATTCTGACATACAAGCCCTTGAACTGCTGGTCGGGGGGGGAAGAGTTCCACCTTAGACTGCCTTGCTCTTTCTTGAAATTCACAGCGAGGCAACTAGAGAGAGACAGAGAGAGAGAGAGAGAGAGAGAAAAAAAAAAAAGGGGAGAGGGAGAGAGTGAGCGTGAGCGTCAGCGTGAGCGTGAGCATGAGCGTGAGCGTCAGTGTGAGCGTGAGAGTGAGTGAGAGTGAGAGCGGGAGTGAGAGGGAGCGAACGGATCCAGACCACGTAAACTCACTTCGCCGGCCGACAACAGATCCATCTAGCTCTAGCTTTCGTTGCGCTTGAAAGAACGAGCAAACCGGTCATTTTCTCTATATGCAGGCCAAACTATGTTAGGGTTCGGTTGCCATTGCCAAGGGCCTGTCGACTTCATGCCTGATCATGCCTGTCGTCGTTCAGATCGCATTTTCAGCTCCAGCCTCAGACTTCTTGAAGAAGAATCCACGGGAGCCACTTCTGCAGTGTAGCTGCAAGCTGTCCTGCACCGACACCACAATGACAAGCAGCACGCTTGCTTGCGTTTCGCCGCAGTCCTCTACAAGACGGGTGAACTTCACAGAGCCGCTGATTCGGCCTTGAACTCCGAGAATCCCGCACTCTGGGGGACTGAGTTTAAGACGTTTAAAAAACACTCCCTGAGTGCTCCGCGTGGATACCGCAGTCCGGCGTGAAGCCGCAACATGGGTGCACAAGCGAAGTGCCAGGAGGCGTGTGGCAGTATGACATGTGAATCACTTGTGAACGCGAACTTTGCCGGGAAGCTGCTGCTTGAGAAGGCTTTCTAGCGAGCCAGAACCTATCACATGCCAGAAACTTCGGCTCTTGCCAGTGTTCCGGGTTAGGGGCGATTGGCAGGCGTAGAAGAAAGCTACAGTCTTGAGCCGAGGAGCGGCTACCCCGAGGTGCACAAACCACGTCTCTGGAACGCGCGAAAGGACCGGAGCTATGAAGTCGCGTTGGGCGAGGGACACGGTGAGCAGCATGGCCCCAGCTGAGAGGCCGCAGGCGACAATGTGCAAGCACCTCGAGCAGCTGAGACGGCAGGAAAAATGTCAACTCCACCAAGTGACTTACGTGCGATGCGCATACTTAGCTCGCAATGAGAGCATATGACAGATTATGAGTTCTAGATTGTGAAACATAGATGTATCAAAAAACACATATGTATGTACATATGTTTGTATTTGTCTACATGTAGGTTACATGCATTATATTATATATACCGCAAAACCCCTCACGGTAGGCGGGGCTTGCACTTCCCATGTTCCACGTTGCCATCTTGGGGCTTTCCGAATTCGAGGTACCTTATTGGGGGTCCTGAATATAAGGGGATCCTACTATTGGGGAATCTATGTTGGGGGTCCCTAAACCTAAACCCTAAACCCTAAACCCTACAGCCTAAACCCTAAACCCTAAACCCTAAACCCAACTATATTGGGGTCCCCCTGTGTTCGTAAACTCCCCATCTTCGGCCCTCTTGGGGGGGAGCCTGTGTCTCCTCAGCGCCGAGGCCTGCTCCAGGATTCGGGGCAGCGCCTGCCGTTTAGGGTTTAGGGTTTAGGGTTTAGGGTTTAGGGTTTAGGGTTTAGGGTTTAGGGTTTAGGGTTTAGGGTTTAGGGTTTAGGGTTTAGGTTTAGGGTTTAGGGTTTAGGGTCTAAGGTTTAGGGTTTAGGGTTTTGGGGGAGTTAAGGGTTTAGGGGTTCATGGCACTTCACGGCACTCTAATCCCAAAATGGCCTCTCTTTATGCGAACTTGTTGACGGTAATGGCGACCGAGTATGGAGAATTAATCAGGTTTCCCATCACCCCTGCCGTGTTTTCGGCATGTTATGACTGGGGGCTTCTCGACTCCGAACAAAGACGAAGCTGTGGCCCTGGAACGTCGGAGTCTTCGAGGTCCCCGAGAACGGATCCCCACACGAGAACAGCGCCTCACCCAACTTCACCGTAACCAGAATCCAAGCCGAAGCCACCAGGACGCCCATGCCTCAAAGACATTTCCGGGACCACTCGGTTGGAAAAATATCAACAGTTGTGCAGCGCCAACAAGCGCCAGAGGCGGCACTTCCTCCGAGTCTGGGACTCAGCGGCAGGAAGTCCGAGAACCTCTTGGCCTGGCGTCACAATTCTGTCGACTTGCCCACGTCTCACCTGCAAATCCACACGTGCCGCTCCCAGCCTGTGAGGACAGAATAAGTCCCACAATCAGCCTGCCAAAACACATCAGGCCCCCTTTTCGGGGTTCCTATAATCAGGATTATACTATTTTGGGTATATAGCAAGGTTACCCCCCCCTATTGTTGGAAATACCCATATGTTGCTTTCGTGAAGGGATAGGGCTGGTAGCCGCTGCCTGCCGGTTGCCAGCGGCAGGGCCAAGACCAGTGCCTCATGGCAGCCCATTGCTAGTTGGAACTGTTGGAACAGCAACAGGTTTAGGGTTTAGGGTTTAGGGTTTAGGGTTTAGGGTTTAGGGTTTAGGGTTTAGGGTTTAGGGTTTAGGGTTTAGGGTTTAGGGTGCAATAACCCCCCCAAGCTGCAGTCTTTTGTGTGCCGTGCGAAGTTAAGGTGGCAACCATCACCGACCAGCAGATGACCACGACAAGTCCGAAAACCTGTGAGAAAACAAGGAATCGGATGAGACTTGCACCGCCCTGACGCACCGCGTGCACGGTGCCGACTGTGCCCCTGGCTCCAAGAAACTTCCACGGCTTCACCGCCCACGGCGACCAGTCAGCGCTAGACGGTACCTGGACATCACGCCTTCTGCACTCCATGTTACGGGGAGTTGTGCCAGATGAGTAATCTTCCGCACAGGCAAGCTTTGCTTCGAAAACTGATGAAAAGAAACTCCCAACAAAAGAAGCAATATGCAGAAACCCCGCCACATGCGCCCGATTCCGAGTTCCCGCGCCGGGGGCCGTCTGGTCGGTTCCCCCACCTCGCAGAGTGCACTCCATTAAGCCCCTTAAGCCCCTTAAGCCCCTTAAGCCCCTTAAGTCCCGAATCAAAGAAAAAGGTAAGCTCTAAACCACCCCTCCCCCGAAAACCCTGTGCTGGGAAGGCTGCTAAGAGATGCCCGAAGCCAATGGCGCGAAACCAGCAGCGCAGCCTGACTCCGATTTTCAGAGCAAAGGTTTCGGGGATCTTGGACGCCCTCTACCGGAATGAAGGTACCGGTTGTAGGGTTCTTTTCAGGGTTCAGGAATTGCCTTTGCATGCCCGACTCCCAGCTGTTGCACCGAGTACCCAACCCGGACGAGATCAGTCTCGTCATTACAGGCGAGGTCTCGAGTATGCGGATGCACTGCAGCACCTGAGCCCGCGCTACTCGAAAACGATGTCAAAGAAACTGAGGGCGCAAGCTCCTGAGACACAGACAAGTACGTAGAGCTGCATCAACTCCAGCACGAATAGTGACTGGCCTTCTGCAATGCCGCCGTTCTTGGTTTTGCCTTAGAGCAACAGGGCGAAGAAAGCTCTGTCACTCGCCGCCCTTGGGCTCTTTGAGTCCTCTCTGTTCAAGACCCGGGCTGTGAGGTCGAACAGGTGCACCGAGGGGGCCTTCACGTGGGAAAAGAGCAGTCAGAAGGCTGCAACCATGTCAACTCACCCACGGCAAGTACTATAAGTACTGCAACCACAGCAGGAATACTGAGAGCACGACCCGAGGAGAAGGGGTCTCTCCGGTGAAGGCCTTCCAGGACATCACCTCAGGCCGTCTGAGCCCCCCCTATTCGAAGAAGATAGCCGTCTTGTTTCGTTCCTATTGCAGCACTAGCTTCACCAGCAACTGTGTTGCAAGCGTTGCGACTCACTTCTTTGTGCATGTGGACCACAAAACGATGGGCAGGGTGCCGAACCTGTCTCCACCAGCAACATTGGGAAGAGAGCCTCCCCTACCAACCTGGCTGGGTTCTTTATGACTTCGGAGGACGCTGCCGGCTGAGACAAGCATCTGATGGTCATTTCTGAAGGTCTTGATTCGGGCATCAGCTTTCAATGGAAGCACTTTGGGAGCAAGACAGCTCAAGGCCTGTCGAGCAGGTAGGCCGGCAGGTACCACACTGCAAACACGAGCGGCGTGTGCACGGCAACCTGCAGAGTCGCTTCCCAACCCAACGAGACTCCGTCGGACCGTGCTTCTTGGCTCCAGAGGCTAAGATGCCCGCGTGAATCAGAGAGAGTTTCAATGTTGCCCAGTGAGGCGGCAAAGGCCTCAATACAGGCTACCGCAACACAAGCTGTGAGGAGCATGCTGCTTTAGGGGCCGGACGCAGCCTCGCTTGAGCCTGTCGCACATGATCACGCAAGCTCTCGCCAGGGCCACAACTACAATGACAGTGTTTCCCTATGCCCTCCACAAAACGGAAACCACGTGCAGTTGGAGACTACTGATTGGGGCAGAGAAGACTCCACTCTTCACTACGACCAAGACCAACCAACACATGCCAGCACGTCTTCCCAAGTCATGGTGCTCAATGGCCCCAAGTAAGCCACACCCCACATCCCCTTTTGTCAGACGTAACTGAGAGTTGTGCAGGAAGGCAGGAAGCAGCGAATGGCTCAAAGCCGGACAATCTTTTCATCGTGCGCAAGGGCAAGGCCCGTGTTTCCGATCCCAGACGTAGCCCAAAGAGTGTGGGGGGGGGGGGGGCCATGTTTGGGGGGGAGCGGGTGGGACCTGAGGGGGGGCCACCCCCTCAAAGCTGCAAGAAGCACTTTGCTATTGGATGTTGCGATGACTCAACTCCAGCATCATACGGGAATGACCCGTGCCAGCCCTTACTTCCCCACCAGAATGAACCTGGCAGGGAACTGGTAACGAGCTTTGCTTAGGAGCATAGCTGCTGCACCGCTATAACCCGCAATCCTGATTCATGACTTGGGCTGAAGAGGACTGTAGAGCACATAAGCGCGTCCAGCCCCCCAGCCCCCCCCCTCCCGCCACTTCCCCTCCTGGGGCAGGTCTGACATGTTGTGCTAGCCGTTCAAATTGCAAAGCTTTGGCTGCCCACCTAGCTCTTCTGTCATCGTGCCGAACAGACGCCTTGCGGCAGACTGGCAGTAGACTGCAGCTTGGCATGTCAGCTTCCGCCAGCATGAGAGAGAGAGAGAGAGAGAGCGAAAAAGAAAAATTGAAAAAAGCCTTTCAGATCAAACGTTCCAGTGCAGGCGTGACATGGTGATGTAGACAGAAGCTCAGTGCGCCAACAGCTAGATGTAACTCTTGAGGCTTGAACCTATGGCAGTTGATGGCACCGACAAAGAAGTTGAGGGAAGCTCTCCTTGCCAAAAGCTCCCAGGCCGAACAAAGAAGCCAGATCTACCACATGGAATACCAAACAGGCTTGAGTCGAGGATGGTGCTGTACCACGTGGGGCATGAGCACCTCAGGGACCGAGCAAAGGGGGCCGCATGCGTGGGAGACACGGGTGCAAGGTCCCTTTCTGGGGATGGCACGTTTGCAACACAGCCCTCCATGAAGGCAAAGCCCCACAGGTGCACGTAGCCGATAAAGAGCTGCATGACCTGGGACTCGGGGCTCGGATTGGAAGCAGCTTGTGTCGACCACTGTCTAAGGCCCCGACGAATGTTATGAAGGGGTGGGCATTCATGATCGAGGCTCTTGCTGGCTGCGATAGATGAAGCACCTGCCCAGCATTCAGCGCAAGTTCTTTTGGGATTTAGAGAGGCAAGGATGCGGACATAACACAACAGAACACGCGACAAGGCACGGGTCCGGCAAGGAGACACAGTACCAAATGGCCGACATAGGCAGGGAAGGCCCTTGGCAAGTCGGTAGATTCGGAAAAAAATCTCATCTCCAACAGCTCTCTCAGAACCAGACACAACCTGTAGCAATGCCACAACGATGCGCTGAACGCGCTGCCTTAGATCACAACAGTTTCATGTACATGACTCCACGCAAGCATTGTGCAACATGCGCAAGGGCAGGTGCTCATGTGTGCTCTGCTGAGATGGAGCCCGAGCCCTGTTACAAAGTAGAATACCGGTACAATGCTCTCATACGCTCTCAGAACGGCCACTGAGGCCCTAACCAGAAAAACGAGACGCTCTCGCAGAAGTGGATCTTGGCAGCGACCACCAACGTCCGACAAGCCTGTGCTGCGAGGAGCCACATGGGGGGCTTACGATATTTCGGGGTACCTTCTTGGGGTCCTTATGATAAGGGGATCCTACTTTTTGGGGGTCTAGCTTACTATATGGAGGGGTCCCCCATGTTCGTAAACCACCCCATGTATCCCCGAGTCTTTCAAGCACAAGGCATCCAACCTGCCAGCATCGGGAATTCTGGCCGCAGCCAGTGGTGGCCCCAATCAGGAGCAGCCCAAACACCTGCAGCCGGGCATAACCCTAAACCCCCAAAACCCTAAAGTCCTAAAGTTCCTTCTTTTTTCATGTCACTCCAACTTGCCTTGACCACGGTGCGTACTTATGTCGATCCGCTTGCGAAGTCTCCCTCTCTCTCTCTCTCTTTCTTTCTTTCTTGTCAGGGCATGTCTGCTATTTGCTGGGGTTGCCGATTGTGGACTGGCAGCTTCCCCCTCTCTCTCTCTGTCTCTCGCCCTCTCTGTTCGAAAATGTGAGTGTGTACGTGTGTGGGCGTGTTCAGGTGTCTGAGAGCGCTCCTCTCGGATCTCTACGCAGTGGGGCTGTTTCAAGCAGGTCCCTACCCCACATTCCTCAGCCCCAGGGCGAAGCCACGCAATCCGCAAGCATGCTCCCCTGATTCCCATCAAATTGACGGGGCCATCTTCCTAGACCTTAAGCTCCGCCGCGTCCCACATGTTATTCGCTGTCTATGTGCTGCTTCTATCTTGCTTTTGAGAACCCCAGCAACCGAAACCATAAGGATAAAAACCGCGACCTGGACATACGTGAAACATCCTGAAAATCCTAAATTGGAAGCCTGAAGCCAGCCCGCTACCACTACCGTGACGTTCAGTTTGCAGAGGCCTTCTTCATCGCTGGAAAGTGGGCGCAAGGTTTAGTTTAGCCATGTTGTTGTTGGGTGGCATCAGAGCTCTGATACTTTGACGATCAAGTGAGCTCCTGAGAAAACCCTGTATGAAACTCCTCCTGCTATTCAAAAACCTTATCGTTCTCGTTTCAAAGCTGACAGCCCATTCTGTGCAGAGTGGCCTTGGTTGGGGCTTCGGCAGCTGTTGCTGCTGCTGGTCTCTGGTGATGATTCCGAGAACTGATGCATGGTCACCATAGCCCTCTTTTGTGCTCCCAACCTTATCATCAACCTTATCGTTTGGGTTGTCGTTAGACACAGAAATGCGCCACCCATCTGCACCACTGAGTCCCGCAAAGCCTGTGACAGGGTGCAGGAAGTTGTTGATTTTTCTTATCATTTGGCCAGGTGTTCGAAT